AGCTCAGCAGGGCCACACCCTCACCAGAAACTAGGCCAGGCTCTAGAGTTTCAGTTCTCCTAATGTTGCTCCATAAACACAGCCCTTTAGGCACCAGACTGCAACGTCAGGGATGGGGGAAGCTGTAACGCTCTGGATAGCGTAGGATTCCAACTTCCACCAGCCCCAGGCACCATGGCCAGTGAATGATGGGAGTTGTAGTCCAGCAGCCAAAGTTTCTCCATTCCTGCAACAACTGCAGGAATGGAGTGTGTGGTTGTCTGCAGAGAAAATCCAGCACACAAATACTTCCTTGTATGTACAGGCTCTGCACAGGTGTCCAGTATATCTACACCATGCCAACCTCCTGCTGCCTTGCCGCTCCCCCTCTAGAAAGGGCAAACTTTGAAGGCCAGTGGATTGTTATTAGGAATAGGGAACAAATTGTGGGGTGTATCATCTGGTTCAACATTTGTTCATCCTGCACTGTTCAATGTGTTTCCCTGTCACTTTCCCAACCCTAAAAAGTCTATTTTTAAAAAGTGATATATTACACTAGGATGACAGAGACCATCAGTTCACTTTAATTGGTGAATCCCTCCCACAAGAGAGTGACAGTCTGGAGGCCTCCTCAGTCATAATACCCAGTTTCACCAACACCCAACAGAAACGCTTTTCCCAATAAGAGAGAAACTCCACTGTTTCAGAAATGCTTCTTCCTAGCAATTTTGCTTTAGGTTTCTTGGGGGCGGGGGCCGTCCGTCCTCTTTATTTTTCCTTTAGCACAAGTTCCATTCAAAGTGTGTGTTTCCCAGCAACCAGCCAGTAGGATATAGACGATGCTGTTAACTGAAGGGCAGGAGCTCACGATTCCCATTGATTTAGATAATCAGTTTAAATATTAAAACAGCAGCAAAAGGGAGATAAAAACCCTTAACAGCAGAGATTAAGAAAGCAGTTTACAGAGGTGGGTATTTTGACAACATTCTGTTGCCCCACCTAGTGGCTCAAGGAAGAAAAGTGCATACTGATTCTCTTAAAGGCACTCAATTCTGTCTTGCATTGTGCGAGCAATACTTTCCATTTCTTTGTAGGCCCAAATATTGCAGTGAGGTGGGGGACACCTCATAAAACTTTTAAACAATAACAACAGTGATGGCTGTTGCTGTCCAAAGAATGGTGCAAAAATAGGTGTTTAAAATTATTTCACTGGAGATTAAACAAAAAAATATTGGGGAATTTGTTGCTTTCTATTGCTTTTTTTTTCTAGGAGAGAATAGAAAGACATTTAAAGTGAGGAGTTGGGGATTTAAGGCAAGATCTGATACCCCTCACCCTGTAAATCCATGCCAGTAACAGAATACATGCCAGTTCTTCTAAATACCCCCTTAATGTTTCCTCTCTCTCTCTCTCTCTCTCTCTCTCTCTCTCTCTCTCTCTCTCCCCTCCTCCTCCTCCTCCTCCTCCTCCAGCATCCTTAACCTCTCTCTCCTCTCCAGCCCAAACAATGGGACTGCTAAATGGAGATTTCACTAATGAGGTTTGGCTGCTTCACATAAAATGGATTTAGACAATCACTGGTGACCCACCTTCTATGTGCATTATGACACAGCCATGTGCACTTCTTATCACTCTGCTGTAGACACTAAACAGTGTTTTGTGCATGAGAATTGCATAGAAACCCAACAGATCTTGTGGGCTTTTGGGGCAGAGAAGTGTGTGATTTTGGTTGAGCAGAATCCCTGCAGGAGAAGAAGAAAAAACAACAAAGTGAAATGTTCCCCCCTTCCCTTTCTTCTTTTGCTTCCTAGAGACTGCGCACTTAAGCAAAGGGATTATATTCTCCTCCACATCATTTCCATCTAATTGAATTTAGCAGAAGGTTGGTGCTGAATCAAATGCTTCTTGATATTTCTTCAGGCTTCTGTCTATCTGAAACAGATTTTCCATGTATTTATTCAACTTTAAGAACAAGATCTTAAGGAAGAAGTTACAAAAAACACACAAACATATGGGCAAATGTGATCTTTGAATTTATTCTTCTAATACATAATTTTAAAGAAATAGATGACTTCTCCACAGATCTATCAGGCTGGATTTTAATGTAGCTTCTGGGGCAGGTTGCTATATCGCAGATCCTCTGACCTGAACCATTCAAATTGTGTTGGAGCTTCCACTTTTATTCCGTTTCATAGCAATGTAAACTTTGCAATGCAGGTTTGAAATTGAGGGATTTGACCACCTTTTTATTTTAAAGAGTAGACCCAGCCTACCTACTTATTATCTTGGGATCTCACCTCAACTGTCCCATCAGCACAAGGATTGCCTCCACCTGTGTGTGTCCTATCGCCCCAAATTTGTTCCTAGGAACCCTGAAAACAAATTTACAGGGGGAAGGGGGGAGTTCCATTGGCCAGGCAGAAATCCTTGCACTGATGGGACCATTTACTTAGTGCTAAAACCAACCCCATGCAGAACTTGTCTGAGGCCGGGGGCGGGAGTCTTGTTAGAATAAAATTACAAACTCAAACAAAAAAGCAGGCAGTCTCTGGTGGCCCCCACCCCCAGCTTAGCCCTCCAAGGTCTGGGGCAAGTGTACACAATGCCCCCCTCTCCCTTCCCTGCTTTGCATGGGCCTGGCTGCAACCCCCCAGGATTTAACCTTTAACTTTCATTAGGTTAACAGAAATCAATCAGAAGTATTTAGAAAATTAATTTTCACTTTAGTTTGTATTTTATTTTAATCAAACGATTGCACACGTATACCATTAATTAGATGGCTCCAGAACATATTAAAACCTCCCATAGCAACGTTGATAACATAATTAAAAACAAGCTAAGAAGCTTTCAGTCTACAAGACACAACAAAAATGGGTAAAAGGAGGCAGAAAAGAAGCAGACTCAGGCACCCATTCTTGAAGTCCTGCAAAAATCCAGCTGGAATAGAAGCAGTTCAGGGAGAAGAGGAGTCAATGGACCTGATCGCTTTGCCTGACCACAATGGGACCAGATCTTAACTCTCCCTCCACTGTAGCCTGGCACAACCACATAGTGCATCTGAGCACATGCTGAGTGTTTTCTTCACAGCACTAAGCAATTACGACCTGCTCCATTATCACACATTTAGGGCCAAATTGCATGTTATGTGAGCAACATATATGTGCCTTTAAAAGCAGCTGTTGTTTTTTAAAGCCGGGGATGGCTTAGAGGCAGCTTTAACCTTTTGGGCAATTGTGGTCCTGATCCAGATTGAGTGTGTGTTTGTGCATGCAACAGGGGTTCAAAAGCTACTAATATTTTCCTCCCACATTAAAATCTATGGCAGCAACTACCGGAGAAATAAGGTGGTGTTTGTACAAATTGAATTTTGAAGCATGAATTTTGCCAGGATTACTGTGTTTGAAGAGGGAGCCACCTAATGGATTCCATGTGCAATAAGTATTTCTTTAGTTTTGGCATATACCGTAATAGTGACATGGAGGCACCAATGTTTTGGGGGCCCAGGGCACTTTTGGAAACTTGAAAACCTGTTGTGAGCACCACATACACTCACACACATCACACAACCACACACACTTTGCAACTGACCAATCAGTGACATACCATGTAGCCCCACCCACCACTGCAACAATGCAACCTTCTGATAAGACAAAATTCCACACAATCACATTCCTTGCAATCATCCTCCACAGCAATCACTCACACAGCCCTCAACCACACAGCCCTGCAACCATGCAACACAACACAACCACACAATGCATGCTCTACTACCACACACCTCATGTAACCACAGAACTCCTCCTGCTCCCCAGCCCCACGCACCCTTTTCAGCTATACAACGAGAACTAACAATTACATTCAAAAAAATCATTCCTGCAAAAAAGCTACTTTCATGTTTAAGAGATCCTAATATTTTAATACATTTGCTTTTAAAAAACCAGGAAAATTAAAGGATTAAAAAAATATATGCTGGTTTAAGTCCTGAGTTGACTCAAACTCAACAAAACCAGGAAATTAGAAGTCAAGGTCGACACCTTAACAGCTGGGCCCCTCCATCAACCACGATGTTGTGCAATGTTACAAACTGTGCTTTCTTACAACTTACCCTTCATGCATCCCCCCCCCTTTTCCTTGGTCCTTCAGGCCCAAATCCAGAAGGGAAGGATGGTGTGCCTGAGACCAGCAAAGACATCCCACATTGTCCTGATTCTGTAATATCTGAGCCTTAGACAAATTCTCCTGTGTGTTGATCCAAGCCTACATGTGGGCTTGGAAGCACACCAGCTGCATCCTCCATGAGAGGCCCTGATTTGCACAAAAGGCTGTGTTATTGTGCAGCACAATTAATATGCAGCAGATACTCTGCCAGGATAAAGAGGGTCGAAAGGTCAGGACCCAGAGGGGGCATCTGCAAAAGTGCAAAAAGTCCCCAAACTACAATAGCAGCAGGTGGTGGTGTCAGGCTGGGGGAGTTTGGTGGTGGTGGTGGGGAATCAAGAATGGAAGGTCAGCTACAGAGCAACCCAGGGATCCAGAACTGGACTAGTTGTGAATCTTGAAGAAGATGCTTTAGAATAGGATGCCAAGTCATAAAGCTGCACAGATCCGTTGCTTCATGGAAGGAAATTGCAAGGTGGAGTCTCAGAAAAGGAACCTCAATTGATCTGTCAATCTTTTCTAGCAAGTATCTTGACAGTTGCACATTAGGATTAAAGGAGAATGAGAAGAAGATGTACTGAGTGAATGCTTAATTTTTAAAAAATAGCACTAGAGTCATTGATTCTTCTTCCCAGCACTGGCAGATCAAGGATTAATGGTGCTTATGCAGCCCAGCACCAGATATACTCAAGTAAATGAGAAGGACTAAGTTGAAAAAGGGAGAAAGAGGAGGCAGTCCAAGGGAGCAGTCCAGCAGCATCACTTCTGCCTGGCAGTGAAATTCATACCAGGGTCACTTTCTCTTGAAATCTGTTCCCCTTAGGCTTATGGTGCCAGCTGGAGGTGAATGGTTGCTGCTCCATTCAGTAGAAGCGGCCTGTGGGCAGGCGAGGCAGGCAGAAATAAGCACTGGGGTAGAGGCTCAGGTTGATGGGGTTGCCGTCCAAGCGGATGTCCTCCAGAGCCCGGCGGATGTGGCTGTGGTCCCTGCTGTCGCAGAACGTGTCTACGTGCATGGTCTGGATGTTGTTGTTCTAGGGAAGGAAATTGAGAAGCGAAGACGATCACCAGATGGGGCTGGTGGAGGAGAGTGCGGGGGGCGGAATCACCAACACTCATAGATCAAGAAGAGGCTCGAAGTTATTAGTGTTTTCCCTTGTTCAGACCAATCAGCAATCCTTGGGGGGCATGATAGCTAACTGGAAAGGGCCTTCACCAGTATAGTCCAGGGTGGACATGGACTTCAAAACACTTAGGGTCTGATTGAATGCATCCAGGTCTCTTGCGGGGCATGGCGTTGGTCATGGAGGTTGGCAAGAGACCCCATTTAGGGTTCAGTCGCAATTGCAAGACAGGGAAAGAATATTGGTAGGTACAGATCACATGCAATTAGAGAAATAATGGCAAAGATAATGCATGAGCCCACATTATAACTGCTCCTTGCTTTTTAACAGTGGTATCTCTGGTTAAGAACTTAATTCGTTCTGGAGGTCCGTTCTTAACCTGAAACTGTTCTTAACATGAAGCACCACTTTAGCTAATGGGGCCTCCCACTGCCGCCACCCGATTTCTGTTTTCATCCTGAAGCAAAGTTCTGGGTTAGTGGAGTCTGTAACCTGAAGCATATGTAACCTGAGGTACCACTGTAATCTGAAAGGAAATGAGCGGCAAACGACTGAGTCTCTCAGAGGCTTGTGCTTTGGCTGTTGGTGTCCTCTCTCTCTCATTTAAAGAGTTCATCGTCACTCTCTCACCTGTAGATGCAAAGACCTCAGTCTCTCAGGCAGCAGCATGGGGATGTAGTCCAGTTTGTTGTCAGACAGATGAAGGAACTCCAGCTTCTTCAGATCCTGAAAGCAGAAGGAAGGACTATCAGCCCTTTGCCTCCTTGAGTGTTCAAGTGAGGCGTCCCAGGATTTTCAATGGAAATGTGAGTTTTCCAAAGAAGTCAGCTGGGCTAGGCCCTAGCAGATTGAAATCCAGGACAAAGCAGCTAAGGGTTCATGCAGGGGTAAAAATCTAACCCAACAGGAAGCTGGGCCTCCACAGATGATAGGAGGAACCCAAAATATTACATCAAATTGTGGTTCCTCATAAGGATGTCAGAGAATTCCATCCTAAGCAGCCATTGGAGCAGATATTGCTACAGTTTGCATATCTACCTGTTCAGGAGCTGTGATGGTGTGTGTATGTGTGTTCAAATCCTGCTTTCTCTGGCAAACCTCTAAGCACCCAGCCAACCTAATAGGATTTAACCACTGCCCCACCTCTGCCTCAATTAGCAAGTGCAGGTGTGGAATCAATAATAGCAACAATAATTATGGCAGAACTTATGAAAAATAGCAAACAGACAGCAAGATGCTGGGAATGAACTGCAGCAGAAAAGAAACAATGCTGCTTTTTATGAATAAACTCTTATGAATAAAATTATGAACAGGTTGGAATAGAAATGACTGCCTTCTTACCTTTAAGCACCCAGGCAAAGAGACAAACAGATGACAAAAAGTCTTGGGTGCTCTGGAGCCTGCTAAACATCTGTTACATAGGATGTAGTACCAATGAACATTGATTTTCTACAGCTTTATATTGTGTTTTTTTGTTTGTTAGCATAAAACATAGACAAAAGGTTAAATGCAGAGACCTCAAGGTAATAATGGGACGCAGGTGGCGCTGTGGGTAAAACCTCAGCGCCTAGGACTTGCCGATCGTATGGTCGGCGGTTCGAATCCCCGCGGTGGGGTGAGCTCCCGTCGTTCGGTCCCAGCTCCTGCCCACCTAGCAGTTCGAAAGCACTCCTAAGTGTAAGTAGATAAATAGGTACCGCTTTATAGCGGGAAGGTAAACGGCGTTTCCGTGTGCTGCTCTGGTGCAGGCTCGCCAGAGCAGCTTCGTCACGCTGGCCACGTGACCCGGAAGTGTCTTCAGACAGCGCTGGCCCCCGGCCTCTTAAGCGAGATGGGCGCGCAACCCCAGAGTCGGTCACGACTGGCCTGTACGGGCAGGGGTACCTTTACCTTTACCTTTACCTTTACCTTACAAGGTAATAATAAGGGAGCCCCATCCCCAGACCTTCCAGAATTCCACTGCTGGGTTCATCACCAATGGTTAATGTCTAAAGCATGAGCAGCCAAAGTGATGCCCTCCAGATATTGCTAGACATCACCTCCAATAATCAGTTATGCTGCCTGGGGCTGATGGGAGTTGGGAGAACATCTGGAGGACCCCACGTTGCTTACTCCTGTTCTAAAGCAAATCAAGGAGAGGGCTCAAACCTGGTGATAATTCGCCCAAATCCCAGGTAGGGCTGTAGTGACTCAGTGACATGGCAAGTAGCGGCAATCAACGAGATTGATCAGCCTCTATAGCTCAGGTCCATTAAGAGGTCCACAACACCAGGGGCAATCACTTTGTACCCTAGATCATGTGAATGCTTCACTCACGTTGTCTGTCCCCACTCCCCACCCCAAAACACTTGTGAAATGATGCAGAACATCCATGTAGAACAACCTTCTCTTACCAATACGGAATGAGAACAATCAAAAAAGCAGCAGAAAAAAATAGTGGAAGGGGTCTTAATCTAGGCCTTGCAGCATTTGAGAGATGCTCACCTTGAAGGCTTCCGGTTGAATGCCTGCACTCTGGATTGCATTAAAGCGGGCATCCAGCTGCACAATGGAACTGGGCAACTCAGGCAGGGAAGTCAATTGGTTTTCAGGGAGGACAAGCTCTTGCAAGGAAGGCAGCATCCTGAAAGCGTCTTCATCCACCCAGGAAATAAAGTTGCTCGTGAGGTCAATTCGTTTCAATTTTTCTGTGAAAAAAATAGTTTTGGGAGCCAAATCACAGGTGATCACTTGGAAATCAGTTAATGCACATCACTACCATAGTGTTTCCACACATCCCTTCCAAGAGAGTGAGAGTAGACTGGGATGCACTTTCGCATTGGTAGTTGATGATAGCCCCTGTACAAACCCATTTCTGCATCACTTGCCTGTTCAACCCACCTCCCTCCCCTCACACACACACACTCGTTGCAGTGATCTCTGGTGAACTGACAAGGTTAGGGGGAAATTGTCAATTTCGCAGATGCCACCTGTGGTTTGGTGCTGTTGTTTTAATTACAATATTACTATGAACACCAGCACTGGAGTACATATATGCTATTTAAAGAAAATAAAAACAGCTAAAGAAACATGCCACTGAAAGGCTGCTTCAATGCATGCACAAAACGTAAGATAAAAGCAAATGTGCAGGATACACTCCTCTCTCAACATTTGGGAGCTGCAACTAGAATCTGGGATCTCTTTGGTGCAGGAGTGTAACACAGATTCAGCCCCAAATAGGATCACTTCCTCTTTTTGACATGTTTGGTTGTATTTGTCTTTCTCTAGGGCTTTGATGGGGTGGACTGAAATATTGAGCCCTCTGGTATTGTAACAGGATTGTATCCAGTGTTGTGCCAGCGTTTCCACTGGTACAATGAGGCCTTCTTTTCCTCTCCTCCCCACAAATCTGCTCTTAAGAGTACCCCAATTTCTCCTAAGCTGATTTGGAGGGTGGGCAGACAAGGGGCTGGAAAAGGCACGAGAAGAAGAGAAAGTTCTATTGCACCAGAATTGAATATGACGACTTCTTCTTTTTTTTTTAAAGAATCAAAATGAAATTAGCTGTTCTGACACTGATTTCTCACAAAACAACTTGCTTTCAACACGCAGCCCAGGAACTGCACAGCTGACAGGCTTTGTGAAGTGAACATGTTCTCTTCTACCAGTTTCCCCTGGTATTAAACAGTGTGAGATGCTAGCAAAATGCCAGCCTTTTCTTTTGGTATTGGCTCAAAACCTTCAAAGGTGAAAACTACATTCCTCTTGAGGCTTTCCACTGGCTGAGAATAGTGTATTACAAGGTCTCAAATGTATGTGCCTGGCAGAAATTGGGCAGTCTTTTCCATCTCCAGATCCTGACATATTTATTTGTTAAGAAAGAAAAAAATCATTTGGGCCACAGTTATTTGGGGCTAATGCTTTGCAACCATGAACATGAGGAAGCCTTTGTGCCTTACATATGCTGGCACCTGGCTGCAGAAGAAGCAAAAGTCCTAAGGTTTTCTTTTGCATATAGACCCAAAGAGCAGGTCAGGGAGAAGCGGAAAGGCTGTGCGCAGCCTTCCCATTGCTCCCTGAGGTTGTGGGGCTGGCAGTGGGGGGAAGCCTGGCTTTCCCCCACCACTAGCCCCAAAGAGCAGGTCGGGGAGCAGCGGAAAGGCTGCTCCAGGCTCCCCGCTGCTCCCCGGGGCTGGCGGTGGGGGAAGCCCGGCTTTCCCCCACCCCCAAAGAGCAGGTTGAGGCTGGCGGGGAAAGCCCGGGTCCCCCGCCCCAGCCCCAGGGACCACACTCGCTCCATAAGACGCACAGACATTTCCCCTGAGATTTTAAGAGGGGAAAAGTGTGTCTTATGGAGCGAAAAATACTGTACACATAATTTGTGCACTAAAGATCATATACGACAGGAGTCAAATTAATATCAGGCTGTGCAAGAGAGAATAGTTTGGTGCTCATATGACTACTATTTGAGATCTTTATTTGTTTTACATATGGTTGGAACTCAAAATGGTTGCCCAGTTGTTAATGGACTTGGGGATCAAAGGGTGAGTTCACTCAAATCCTACCAGGATGGGATGAATGTAACCAGGTTATGTCCCGATGAACAGTGAAACTGGCTTTGTGTGATTGCTTCCTCACACGCCCAGACTAGTAACTCAACTCACGGTTATCACTGCAGAATCCATTGTGATAGCACATAATAAAGGTGGATATCGTTCCAGGTAGTGCAGCAATTATGTCATGCTCACTGCAACCCAGATTTTGCCCAGATTCATCCCATTCACATTTTCCAGCACACTTTCAGCCTGTTCACACATCCATTTAACATTTGATAGCCACAGGGCAAGCCTGTAGGAATTTAGCCTATGCTGTGCCAGCTCTATGTGTCTTTCACCACGTCGCAGAATTTGTGGTGACATGCCCAAAACCAAATTCCTTTACCACTGCTGCTTCCATTGAAAACAGGGCCTGATTGGGTCAGATTCTTGGCTTGCAATCTGGCAACGACCCAATCTTCTGTCAGATTGCATTATGAAATAAGAGCCAGTGTGAAAACAGACTCTGGTATTCAGATACCCACTTCCGAGACAAGCGTGTGGCAAACACATTACCCATTTCACCCTCAGGAGAGTGGAGAGGAAGAGCAGAGAGTTGCACAGGTGACTTTGCTTGTAACAGACAAGGCTGCCTAGATGGGGTGAAGCAGCTTGCAAGTGTGAGAACTGTAACCAGAAGCCCTAAGGAGCATAGCATACCAAGTCCGGTGAAGTCACTGGCCTGAATCTTGCTGATGTGGTTGAAGCGGGCATAGAAATATGTGGTCTCCAAGGGCAGAGGTGGGATGTGTTCTAGATCAGAGTCATCACAGTACACAGAGGTGCTGATGCACACACAGACCAAACAGGTGGGAAGACCTAGAGACAGGGTAGAGAGTGCTAGTTAATGTGGGCCTGATCAGTGAAAGAGTTTAGGAATGGCCCTGCACAGAGATGGAGATATCGTTGCTGAACCCAGTAATGAGATATGTGGTGGGACAAAGCCACAGAGCTACTCTCCTGAGGTCAGCATTGATACAGCTTAACCTGGATTACACTGGGATGGGCCAGGGTGGTGGTGTGATTGTGGCTGCACAAACACACCAGCAGAGGAAATTGGGTGCTCTAGCTGGGGTATCCACATCCTGGCCATGCTGCCTCACCCCAGCACTGCCCAGGTAAGCTGAGCAACACCATTGTCAAGAGGCTGGCTCTGTAGCTCTGCCTCACCATTTGGGCTGCTAGTGGTTGAGCTACAGTTTCCACCATTCCTAAGCATTGGCCATAATGGCAAGGGCTCAGAGGGAGGTGGAGTTCAACAACATCTGGAAGGCCACAACTTCCCTATCTCTGCTTTAAGGAATAAGACAAACATTTAATTTTTAGAGGATTAGAGCTACTGGACACATCCATTCTTTAAGTGCTCACATTTTGGTATTACTTTTTTTTTTAATGCATTTTCCATTTTTCTATTTACACATCATACTTTCCCATCATGCATTGTTTCTGGTATTACTTTTTTAATTGAAATGATGTTGCATTTTACTGTGTTCCTTTGTTTGCTAAACCGATCCTGAGAATTCTCCAGTATGTCCTGTTACGATATGAAAGCAACGCAGCTGCAAACTGGTAGCTTGAAAACATCACATGATGGGGCTGACTGTGGGAAAGAATGTTACAGTCAGTTCACAGGGCAGTTCACCGGAATTTGCTCAGTGTGTAATATGAGACCTTCCTGTTGTGTTTGTAAAGGAAGTCTTCGTCACTTACTTGCTGGATGGAAACTGAAGTGATCGGACACGTTTTCTGTAGAGCTGCAAAGTCAGAAATAAAGAGATGTAAATAGATTTCTGGCTATCTCCTTTCCCTGCTAGGGAAGCAAGGAGGGAGGGGGTGTGCATTTTACCACACTGGGAAATGTCGCCTATTGAGACCTATTCTGGAATTGCGGGGATTGCAGCCAGGGAGGTCACTGGTAAATAAGCCGGGAGTCTGGGAGAGTTGCCAGTCTCTCCCGACAAGGCTTGTTTTCCAACATGTGGTAGCAGAATGGAGGTCGATGGATCGTAAACATCCTCTGCAACATGTGGTAGCAAGCGGATGGAAGCTGCAAAGTAACGGCTACAGATGGCTAAGCACCCGGTGGAGACGTGTTTTGCTGATAGGCTACATTCCACGGACCCCTGACAGAAGCTGATTGATGGCTGGATCGTGTGCGCGGATTGAAAATTCTCCGGTTCACTGGGAAACTGCCGTGTTTTGGATTAGAACAGGCAGAGAAAGAGCCACATTCTTCACATTCCAGGGGAGAACATAACTGCCGTTGCTAAGCGACAAAACGTGAGTATTTTTTGTTAGCTTCAAAAGCAAGGAGAAACAAGCCGGAGCAGTAAAATTAGCTCGGAGGCTGCAAAGAGCTGTTGGAATTGCAGCGAAGGCTTGTTGTTTACAGACTCTTGGAAGGGACTTTCCAAGCAGCTAGGCTAGCTGCCAGGTGCAAGCAGCTAGTGAACAGCCCAATAGGCTTTTGGAGTTTTCAGCTCGTAGCTGAAAGCTGAAACTTGGAATTAAGATGGCTCTGTTCTCTCAGAAACTCCGGAAAGCTTGTGAAGCTGGAGTGAGAAGCAAGGGCCGAGAGTTGGCTGCACCAGAGGGGGAGAGCCAAGATGGCGCTGGCCAGATTCTTGAGAGCTCATCGAAAGCTGGGAGGAGCTTTGAGCCCCAAAGGGGGAATGAAGGAACTGTTGCTGTTCCTGTTCTTGCTGCAATGGATGTTGCTGACAGGGGGAGTGAGGCTCGGAGTTGTAGCGCCCCTACTGCTATTGATAGAGAAGAGCAGGCAGTAGCTCTGAACGTTGTTCGTTGTTACAATTGTGGACAGCCTGGGCATATTCAGAGGAACTGTAAGAAGCCATGTCAACAGAAAGGAGCTAGAGGGAGGCTTCAAGCAAAGGTCAAGCCAAGTCCCAGGCACAACCAGCTAAGGTTTTGATGTCGCTAAAAGCCACATCATCAGTGGAAAACGCCTTTGTTTGGACACAGGTTGCACCCAGCCCATGGCATCACGCCGGGAATTGTTTTCTACGTTTGAGAAGCAAAGCTTCACTGTGAAACAGGCCAATGGTCAGGAGATCACAGCGACCGGATTTGGGACTGTGTATCTGGAAAGCCTGAACTTGACTATAAGCAATGTGTATTTTGTTCCTGATTTAAAGTTCAATCTGCTGAGTGTTTCGCAGATAACAAAGAAAGGACTGGTGTTGTCCTATGATAAGGAAAGCTGCAAAATCTTCAAAGATGGAGAGCTGTATCTTTCTGCCAGAGAGAAAGGTGGACTGTATCTGTTGACTTATGATGAGAAAGATTACAATAATTGTACTGCATCTGAGTCTAACATGATTTCTCTTGCAGGTGTGACGAAAGACGTCAAGGATCAGAAGACACAGAAGGTTAACAGAGTTTTTCAGTGAGTGTATGCTGATGTAATTGGTCCTCTAGCACCATCTAGAGACAATGCTAAATATTATCTTGTATGTGTTGATCATTTCTCTCATTATGTATGGATTTACATTTTGCAGAGGCCCAAATAAGCCTTAACAAGGTTTCAGGAGTTTTGTGATAAGGTTAAGAATGTTCATGATGCTAATGTTGATTGTCTTTTCACAGATGAAAAGCCAGTTTTTCTTTTACAGGATTTTCAAGATTTCCTGGAGAAACAAGGGATAAAGCACAAGGTTGCTGTTTCTGAAGCTGCATGGCACAAAAGTATTTGTGTAAAAGTGAACAAAGAATTGCAGGATGGCATGAAGGCACGATTGCTGAGTTCACATTTGCCACATGAGTTTTGGGCTGAATCTTTATCTTGTTTTTGTTACACTTGGGTGAGAAAGGTTTCAAAAGGTATGGAAAGTTCTCCTTTTGAGAAGCTGTTCCATAGAAAACCTTCTGTAGCACATTTTAAGGTTTTTGGATCTCATGTAAAGACAGAAGCTCCAGGTGGAGTTAAGAATGCAAAAGGCATTTTTGTGGGTTATGAAAAGGGTCTCTACAGAGTAATTTTGTCTGAATCTGGTCAAGTGATTCTCACAAAGTTTCTAGAGAACGCTCCTGGACAAGAGAGAGGGGTTTTTCATACATTTCCCACTGATTACAATTCAGATGATGATTCTGATTTTTCTGATTGTTCTGGTACAGACAGTGACACAGACAGCTCAGAGAGTTCTGTTGACACAGTCATTGAGAGACGTTCTCACACAATGTCTAGACCTACACAGGTTAAAGCTGAACCAGAAGTGACTGAACCATTGTTTACTGTTGGGCGTAGTTCTCCAAAAGGTCCTGAGGATGAACCAGTCAGCAAAGAGGATCAGCACCTCATACGCAGGTCTGAGAGGGTTACAAAGGGCGTACCACCCAAGAGGTATTCTCAAGAGTTTGCTAACTCAGCTGTTGCATGTGTTACTATTGTTGACAACTCTAGACAAGTTAAAGCTGTGTCTAAGTCAGAGACAAAGACACAACTGGGAGTTGCTAAGCGTAACACTACATTCCCTAGCCAAGGTAATGCAGATGCACTCATTCCTTGGAAAAGAGACAACCAGAGAGTTACACTGGTGAAACCAGTGGTGGGTAGTTCCAAGGGTGGAACTGAAACAACAGGGGATTGTTACATGTATAACAACTGTTTGTTTTCTTCTCTGGATCAAGCTTTGTTCGCAGCTAACATTGATTCATATGGGGGAGTATGTTACGATATGAAAGCAACGCAGCTGCAAACTGGTAGCTTGAAAATAATCACATGATGGGGCTGACTGTGGGAAAGAATGTTACAGTCAGTTCACAGGGTGGTTCACCGGAATTTGCTCAGTGTGTAATATGAGACCTTCCTGTTGTGTTTGTAAAGGAAGTCTTCGTCACTTACTTGCTGGATGGAAACTGAAGTGATCGGACACGTTTTCTGTAGAGCTATAATGTCAGAAATAAACAATACGTAAAAGGACTTTCTGACTATTCTTCTTTCCCCTGCGAAAGGGGGAGAAGGGGGTGTGCATTTTCCACGCTGGGAAATGTCGCCTATATCAAGATCTCCCTGGTCTGTCTGGGAACGCAGCCAGAGGCAGATCACCGGTAAACCAGCTCCGGGAGCAGGGAGAGGGGACAGCCTCTCCAGATGGGGCTAGTTTTCCAACATGTCCATGACTACCCATGACCTGAAAAATCTTGCCAAACATTTGTCTCTTTTGAAAGCCATAACATAGTGAACTGTCAGCTGGACATTCATTTTATTATTTGTGTATATTGAATGAATGAATCTTTATTTGCATCATCCACCAGCCATAGCAATAAAACAAACAAAATGTATACTTGTATTATTACAACAAACTACAACTATGCCACAGCTGGCCCACCCCAACAAATGCTTACACCTGACCCTCTTTCCTTATAGTTTTAGAGAGGAGAAAACAAGGGAAAAAGTCTAGATGAGCAGTGGATGCCTTATCATTTTTGTGGCTAACCTATTATTCCTGAACATATCTTTTTGTTGGCAGTGTGAGTTTAGGGTAGCTAATCACAAAGATCCTGAGGATCCATGTGGATCCATGCTTTGTAACCACGTTTTGACTAGGTTGCCCCAGCCACTCTGAGTGGCTTCCAACATAAATAAAAACACAGCAAAACATCACACATTGAAAACTTCCTGATACAGGGCTGCCTTCAGATGTCTTCAATAAAGTCAGATAGCTGTTCATTTCCATAACATCTGATGGGAGGGCATTTCACAGGGTGGGCGCCACCACTGAGAAGGTCCTCTGCCTGGTATCCTGTAACCTCACTTCTCACAGTGAGGGAACTGCCAGAAGGCTCTCGGAGCTGGACCTCAGTGTCTGGGCTGAACAATGGGGGTGGAGACGCTCCTTCAGGTATACTGGTATATATTTATACCCCACCTTTTCCCAAAGGAGCTTGGACTGGCATACATGGTTCTGCTATGCACCTCACCAGGTAACCTTGAGCCAGTCACTTGCTCAGTCACACTTACTCAACCTAGGCTGCCTCACAGGTTTGTTGTGGGGATAATACAGGGGGCAGAACCTTGTATTCTGCATTGAGCTCCCTGAGGAAAAGGTAAGATTGAAATGTAAATGATAGATCTGCTATTTCTCCTAGACTCAAATATTTTCTGAAAACTGTGGGCATGGGATAGAAGGAACTGCCATTCTCATTTTGCTATCAGGTGAGGGGACGACCAAACAGCAGGCCGAGTTTTTGTGATGTCCTGATATGGAAAATGTGGGGTGTCAGATTGGCTCTGTTCACAAGTGAGTGCTAAGTTCTTTTAAAAGGCAAAAAAGAGGAACAAATGAGTCAATTCCAATTAAAGAGACGAATCACAAACCACTAGTCCAAATAGCTGCTTAGCAATGAATCAGCCTGGGCCAAGTCCAATACAAAGGGTGCAACATTGCCTTATTAACCTTATGGTGTTACCCCAGGAATTTTGTTTGGCCTTTCATATTCAGAGAAACCCAACCGAAAGGAAATGGGAGTTATTTTTGCACTGAGAAATCATTGCTGCTGTTACGTCTGGAGCCAACAGCCCATTGCAGAGTCAAAGTGACAAGATTCCAGGCACCAATTAAAACTGCTTGAGTATTTAAAATAAAAAAACCTCTTATTCAGAGGACTAAACAGACTCCAAATCTATTAGTGGAGGAGTTCAAAGCAGAAAGCCAACAATTTCGCTCAGCCTACTACTTAATTTGTCCCAGTTCAGAGTGGCAGAAAATGAATAAAGATATTTATCCCTCGCTACAGGATTTTAATTGTCACTAATCTAATTGCTACTCTGTCCGATTTTCGCTGCGTCGCTGCTCATTAAAGTCTTGGTGCTTTGCTGGCGTTTCTGTTTGTTTCTGAGCAGCTCCTTTATCAAGCTTCTCTCCTGTCTCAAATAAGGAGCCCAAGCCTGCTTGCTTTTTAAATGTACAAGCAGAGCAAATTTTGCTTTCTTTCCATCTGTTAGATGGATGGGCATAGGGCAGAGAGGGGATGAGGTGAAAAGAATCAGGCGCCTCTTTTAAATGTTCAACAGTGTGTGTTTGTTTAGCAAAAGAAATGGGAGCTGCTTTTCCCATCAATTAAAATACTCAAAACTGGCATGCAGTTTGAAAAAACAACATAAGGACAACAAAGGAATACAAAAATAAACCAGGCAAGATATAAAAACTGGCAGCAGAGATAAATACAACACTAGCAGCACCATTCCCTTAAAAAGAAAAAAAGAAAAAATCAGGCTTTACTTGAACAGAATTTTTTGTTTTATGGTGGAAGAAGGATGCTTATTACCATAATATATTGTTCATTACATTGGTATAGCACCCTTCATCTGAAGATCACAGGGAGGTTCACAACAGAAAAATACAAAATGAGAACACAAAATACATAATAAAATACACAATAAAACAAAAACTAATCAATAGTCCCACAAACACATTTAAAAGGCCACAGAATATTAATCAGCCAAAGACCTGGTTATAGAGAAAAGTTTTCGCCTAGCACCCACAGTTATGAAGGAGCCAGGTGAGCCTCCCTGGGGAGAGCATTTCACAAATGGGAAGCCACCACAGAAAAGGCCCATTCTTGTGTCCATTTGTGTGCCTCCTCCAGACCTCTCATGGAGGAGGCACATGAAGAAGGACCTCAGAGGATGACCACAAGGCCCAGGTAGATTCCTATGGGAAGAGGCAGTCCTTGAAGTATTGAGGCCCTGAGCCATTTAAGGCTTAGGTAAAAACTAACACTTTGAATTGGGCCCAGAAACTAATTGGCAGCCAGTGCAGTTGGGCCAGAATTGGTGTAATGTGTTCAAACCGTCAGGCCCAGGTGAGCAACCTGGCTGCTGAATTCTGCACCAGCTGAAGTTTCTGAACTGTCTTCAGAGGTATGTATAATGTGTTGCAGTAGTCTAACCTAAAGGTTACCAGAGCATAGATAACAGATGTTAGGCTATCCCTGTCTAGATAGGGGCAAAGCTAAGCCACCAGCCTATCTGATAGAATGCATTCCATCCCACCAAGGCCACCTCAGCCTCAAGTGACGGCAAAGGATTCAGAAGGACCCCCAAGCTGAGTTCCCGCTCCTTCAGAGGGAATGTAACCCCATCAAGAGGAAGGAAACCATCCAGTCTTGGGAACCACCCAGTAACAGTGCCTCAGCCTTATCTGGATTGAGCTTCAGTTTGTTGGTTCTCATCTAGTTAATCACTGAGGCAACACAATGGTCCAGTCCATCTACTGCCACACCTGCAGATGTGAAGGAGAAGTAGAGCTGCATTCCAAAACCCCTGATAACCCAACTCGATGTTTTCATGTTGATGTTAAACAGCAAGTCTGAAGCAGATGCTGCCGAATATATGCAGATTGTTTAGGGCTTTGCAGGCAAAGCTGACCAGGTGTTTAGTGATTTATTTATTTCTAGATGTTCAACTTCAATAAGCTTTTAATATTTAGTGATCTGTTGCTTTTAGACTGTTTCTTATTTAACCATCACTTCTCCCCTTTGAGCTAAAGACAAGGAAGCTATCACCACAGCAAGGTCCCAAAAGAATAAAGGAGCCTTTCATTCCCAGATGTGACAAAACATCCCTTCCTTGGGCCTTCAGGTATTGTGTGATGCCTTAAGCCTAACATGGCACTCCAAACAGTCATGAATTGTAGCTATTGAGGAACCCATCCTGTACGGATATGAAGAAACACACAGATGCTTCACATTCCTCAAGAGACCCCAGCATTACAACTGGGGCAATATTTCACCAGCTGCTTCATGCTGAAATTTCCTGCGCAGCATATGCCACCCTTATCCTTAGTTTTTGTTTCATGCAGAAAGACTAATGGTTTTGAGTGCCGGTGTTTTACTCACCCTGATCTGTTATGGACCCAAACAGGCCTGGTCCCTGAGGCCTGGCAGCCGTGGATGTTGGTGGGCTCTTTTGTGGAATTTCAGTTGCCCCAGTTGTTGTGCTCAGAGGCCCCGGCAAGCTCTTGGTAGGAGGAGGCAGGGTGCCAACCTCAATCTGTAAGTAAATCAAGGGTCTTGTGATTGCATTAGTTATGATGCTCAGAGTCCATTTTACACAGGGGGAAACCGAGTCATATGTAGGGCAGAAGTTTCCAGGTTGGTCTTCTAAGGGCGATTCATACATAATGTTGTTTTTCTTCTGCACACAAACACTTCAGGTGTCCCTTGCTGGGGTAATGTTACATAGTCTAATGTTCCCAGCAGCTGAAAGGAAAGGTCACCCTTCTTGTGGAAATTGCAGTTCACCATATTAGAGGCCAGTTGATTATCGCAATACATTTCTTTATGTATGGATGCAGGGGTCTTGATCTGGATCAGGACCCTGGTAGCAGTGGGTAGGCAGAGAAGGAGGCTTTAACGTTTTGTCACCTGCTGCAGTTCTGACGAAGATTTGTGTCTGCTACTTGCATTGGGAAGAAAAGCTCTCATTTGCACGACTGGACATTTTTCTTCCAATCCAAATAGCAGTTGTGGGGGGGGGGATCCAGACTAAGATTGCACTGGTGGACAAAGGGTTAAAACCTCCTACCTGCATATACGGGGGCCTCAATCTGGATTGGGTACCTTTTTATATGAAAAAATCGAATCATTCAATTAATTGCAGAAACGGCATCTCATTTAGTTTGGTTCTGAGGGCTAAATCATAAGTTACATTAAAATGTTGCTTTAACTAGTAAATGTAGGTGGTTATGAGAGGGGGAGAGGGTGATAGAATTGGAAAAGAACAGTGGCATGTGGAGAATTTGAGATCTTAACCCTCCTTTCCTGCAGTCTCCGAATCCCCCTCTTGGTTGCAATTGGAGGGAATCTCCCTTTGGTGTTGTTTTTGTTGGTGCTGTGGCAGGGGAGGAGAAGGTCCCCCTCCCAGCATACTATGGTCCTGATCTGGATCTCCCCATTCCTATTGCCGTGGCATGCAGTTGCTCTTTAAGACTTCGGTCTCCTTAAGCATATTTATGGCTGCCTATGAACTGCCCCGACAAAAGCGTTGGTGAAGGATTTATAGAGAGTACAATCTATTGCAGCTAACAATGTAAGTGTGGGAGACAGTAGAAGAGATGTGCATAGCTAATTGAAATTGCTGCCGACAGTTGAGCTCCTGAGGTAAGGTGGTAAAACCTGAGAAGCTGATGCCTCTGCACAGGGTGACTATGTCTACATACAAGTGTACACCCACACTGTACACCCAGAATTGTGATTTGGCCTGAGGGTAATCCAAATTCTGCAAGCGGAATACACCACTTTGCATATGTACACTATATACACAACCATCTGGCAAGAGTTAGTGGGTTGTTAGAAAGGCAGAGTATGAATATTGGGGACAGCTAAATTATTGGGAGGCACTTAAAGCTGCGATTCTGAGCAGGACAAACAATCTGCTGAATAGCAGACCTCACATTTCAGTGGCAATTCTATAGTACCTTTGATGCCAGGTCCCCATAATCGTAGTTCTCTTCATAGTTACTGAGATCGATGACCTCTCCATAGTTGTCCAGGTTGAGGTCATAGTTGCCTAAATCCAGGCTGTCATAAGTGGCAGATCTGTGCTTCTCCTTCTTCTTTCCATCTTCCTTCAGTGGAACAGCCAGAGCCAGAGCCAGGGCGGATATTATGCCCACCAAGGCTGCAGTCTGCATCCTGTGCCTGAGTGTCAGGTGGGGAGCAACAAGAGCAGAAGCACCATAAGAAAGCCAGCACGAGACGAGTACCATTCCTTGTTCTGACACAGAATCTTTGCCATGCCCTTTGGCATGTTGGTCTACCTGGGCATTAATTTTGCATCCATAAAATGAAAATGATCTTGCCTCACTGAGTATGTTGTAAGAGACTCCAGTAGGATGGTGATGGGCAGAACCTTTCAAAACCTGACATCAGAGCATGGTCTAGAACCTGCTTTCAGTACCGTGTAGAGGAAAGAAAGGAGCTAGCTTTTGAATGTAAACTGAGTGCTTTCCTTCCACCACTGAGAAAACACCACCAAGACCCTGGTTCCCCATGAATCTAGTATTCAGGTTTGCAGTGAAACCCTCACACTGGGTTCCCCTTACATACTCCCTTTTCGAGAATGCAGGGCAAAGCTGACTGGGTGACCTTGGGCTAGTCGCTGCCTCTCAGCTTAACCTACCTCACAGGGCTGTTGTGGAGATAAAATGGAGAGTGAGGGAGCCACGTACACCACACTGAGCTCCATGGAGAAAAATATGGGATATATGTGTAATAAAATAAGATAAATAAATAAAACCATGGGTCATTGACCTGATCTAATAGGCTCTTCTTGTGTTCTGAGGCAGGGGTTGGCTGAGGGCAGACTGAGGTTGGTTTGCCCTTCTGGAGCAGCCTCGACTATCTGCAACAGAGCCAGATCCTAAGGAGCCTCGATATTGTTTTCTGCTAGCCCTTTCTTCCTAGCACCACGCTTCCAACTCTGCCTTCTCAGTAATCTGGCTGCTGCTTTCTCCTGCTCCAACTCCTCATCAAAGCCTCCACTTTAGCTCCTTATTACTATACCTTCCAGTGCTTTCAGAGACCGCCTGACCTTGCCCTGCGGCACTTTCAAAAGGAGCTCCACTACAAGCTTCATAAAGAGCTTGCAGGTGGTGGGGAGTGGGGGGGGAGACAAGCAGTGGAGGTTCACAGCGCCAGGGAAGAAATGGCTGAAGCTTCCAGCCCTGAGGGGATTATTAATCTCCTTCCCCTTTCAGTCATTTTCATGCCTGACTGCTTTGCCGTGCCGGAGAGGCCCAGAGCAACTTCACCTCTTACTCACAAGCCAGATTTGACTGCAGCAGAAAAGGATGCTCAGACCCAGGGTGGCAAAACTTCAGAAAGAGGGAGTTAAAGCTTCCGCTGCCACCAGTGGGATTGCTGAAGCATCATTAGCAACTTGGTGAGTTGCAGACAATAAAGAGGATGCTTCTTCCTTAGGTCTTCACCTGCATTTTTGCTCCCAGATTGCCAAGTGCATGAACCCTGTCGAAAGCTATTTTTGGTTCAGTTCACAGCCGAGGGAATGAAGGCATGACTGGGAGATGCAATTACTTATCAATATTATTATTATTAATTTATTATTAATTTATTATTTATTTATTTATATTCAAAATTATAACAAAACATATTATCCAAAAACATATCATCCTTGTCCCCCCCCCCATTTTTCCTCCCTCCCCCCTCCCCCCTCCCACACCCCCCCCCGACTTCCCTCAGTTCCAGTCTTTGGTTTCTCTAAGAATGCTGTTTTCTGCATGTTACAAAGTTGTATAGATCCTCAAACTATTTAGCTGATTATTATCAATAAAAGGTTTGTGAATGTTTATTCAAAACCTGCCAAGGAGTCCAGTTCGCATTGTTGCGTCTTCAGATACTTTGTAAAGGGTTCCCATTCATCCTTAAAGTCACAGTTATCCCTGTCCCGTAGCTTATATGTCAGTTTTGCCAGTTCTGCATAGTCCGTCAATTTTTCTTGCCATGATTCTTTAGTTGGGGTTTCTTCAGTCTTCCATCCTTGTGCTATCAGAACTCTCGCGGCTGTTGTCGCATACATGAAGATGTTTTTCAACTTTTTTGGCAGGTCTTTCCCTACAATCCCCAACAAAAATGCCTCGGGTTTTTTAACAAATGTTAAATGGAACATTTTCTTCAATTTGTTGTAAATCATTTCCCAAATTTTTAAAATTACCTTACAATCCCACCACATATGATAAAATGTCCCCTCCTTTTCCTTACACTTCCAACATATATTTGAACTAGTTTTGTACATTTTCCCTAACTGCACTGGTGTTGTGTACCATCTGTGCATCATCTTCATGTAATTCTCCTTCAATAGGAAACAATCTGTAAATTTTAAATCAGTTTTCCATAATTTAACCCAATCTTCCTTCATAGTGTTGTGCCCTACATCTTGTGCCCATTTAATCATAACTGATATTACCTCTTCATCTTTCGTCTCCCGTTCTAATAGTATGCTGCATGAGGCCTTCAGTAGTTAATTTATTAATTTATTATTTATACCCTGCCCATATGGCTGGGTTTCCCCAGCCACTCTGGGTGGCTTCCAACAGAATATTAAAATACAATAGTCCGTCAAACATTAAAAGCTTCCCTAAACAGGACTGCCTTCAGATGTCTTCTAAAAGTCTGGTAGTTGTTTTTCTCTTTGACATCTGGTAGGAGGGTGTTCCACAGGGCGGGTGCCACTACCGAGAAGGTCCTCTGCCTGGTTCTCTGTAACTTGGCTTCTCGCAGCGAGGGGACCGCCAGAAGGCCCTCGGCGCTGGACCTCAGCGTCCGGGCAGAACGATGGGAGTAGAGATGCTCCTTCAGGTATACTGGGCCGACGCCATTTAGGGCTCTAAAGGTCAGCACCAACACTTTGAATTGTGCTCGGAAACGTACTGGGAGCCAATGTAGATCTTTCAAGACTGGTGTTATGTGGTCTCGGCGGCCACTCCCAGTCACCAGTCTAGCTGCCGCATTCTGGATTAGTTGTAGTTTCCAGGTCACCTTGAAAGGTAGCCCCACATAGAGCACATTGCAGTAGTCCAAGCGAGAGATAACTAGATCATGCACCACTCTGGCAAGACAGTCCGCGGGCAGATAGGGTCTCAGCCTGTGTACCAGATGGAGCTGGTGAACAGCTGCCCTGGACACAGAATTGACCTGCACCTCCATGGACAGCTGCGAGTCCAAAATGACTCCCAGGCTGCCCATCTGCTCCTTCAAGGGCACAGTTACCCCATTCAGGACCAGGGTACTAGGCCACCACTTCCTTCCCAATTGGCAAAACAAAACAAAAAGGATCCAAAACCTTTAAGGGAACAGGAAGAGAACCCATAGCCTTGGCCACCTACAAGGAAGAGGTCCACAGTGGTTGAGGCATTCTGAGTCTGGTACAAAGTTTTCCCTCTGAAAAATGTGAGGAAGAGACAGAGACTGAGTGACAGAATTTAAAACCAATTAACTTCTCTTGGAATAATAATATGTTTTGTTCGGAAGATGCCAGTGCTTGGACAGCAGCCATTTTTGGATCATAATGTGTTTGCCAACGCATTTATTCCATCTGTTTGTGTATTTATGATTAATAATAATAATGATTATATATATAGAGCCATCAATGTACATGGTGTTTACACAAGCCTAGGTGCATGCACACATACACACAAATTCAAATATGTTCCCACAGCAGTGCATCACATATGTCCAATACTTGCAAACAGACACAGAAGCTCGCCCACAGAAGCATGCAAGAAGCCTACATTACATTTACTTAAGCTTGTTTCAGGCACAACTATAAATGCTGGTTTTAACCTTCAGATCCCTAAATGGTTTAGGACCCAGATATTTGAATCTAACCTTTAGGATCTGGAAGAACTAACTTGTTTTTTAGCCACCCTTGACTTTGGAGATTTGGCTGATAACAACAGGGAAAAGGTCCTTCTTCATGATGATGCTCCCAACCTTATGGAATGCCCACCCCCTTTCGATTTGTCAGATATGAATGACATTTATGCCATTCAAATGCCACAGCTTCTGATGGTTTTGTTTAAGGTATTTTTTTTATATGCTGTGGTTATACATTTGTTATACAGTTTCTACTTTATTGGTTTATTGCTGCTGTCTTTCTTACATTGTATCGCCTTTGCGGTTGCGTTGATAGTGGTTCTTTAGACTTTTGCAATGCAGTGTTTACTTCAGTGAACCACCTTGTAGACCATCAGGTAGGAAAGTGGTATATAAATATTTAAATTTATTTAAATAATAAAATAGGCACACACATGACTATTCTACAGGAATGCATATGTGTAGGTAAAAAAAAGATAAAGGACCCCTGGACGGTTAAGTCCAGTCAAAGGTGACTATGGGGTTGCAGTGCTCATATCGTTTTCAGGCCAAGGGAGTTGGCGTTTGTCCACAGACAGCTTTCCAGGTCATGTGGCCAGCATGAGTAAACTGCTTCTGGCTCAACAGAACACCGTGACGGAAACCAGAGCACATGGAAATGCTGTTTACCTGCCTGCTGCAGTGGTACCTATTTATCTACTTGTACTGGCATGCTTTCAAATTGCTAGGCAGGAGCTGGGACAAAGCAACGGGAGCTCACCCCGTTGTGGGGATTCAAACCACCAAATTTCTAATCGGCAAGCCCAAGAGGCTCAGTGGTTTATACCAGAGCGCCACCCGCGTCCTAGCATAGGTGTACTCACACATCTGTGTGCACACATGGCCTTTAGGATCTGGAAGAGCTTGCAAGCATATAAAAACATTATCAGAGGTGCACTCTCTCTCTCTCTCTCTCTCTCTCTCTCACACACACACACACACACACACACAGTCTTTCATGGGTGGATGTACATATCTGAGTAGAAACCTGTTTGTAACATCCATTTCTGCCCCCCCCCCCCGCGTACATCCGGACACATGTAAATTTAACCCTAAAAGAGAACATTCTAGAAAGGTGCCTTTATGTGAGGGCTGTGGTCATTACTCCCCACAGATCTTCCACTGATCATATCCAGCATTGGGAATATCATGGCCAGCTTTTGAGCCTCACGCTGCAGGAAGAACTCATGCTTTGTGTAATAGTCCCAATCCCTGGGTAGTTTTCATGCCTGTAACCAAGCCTGAAAGATCTTGAGCTCTGCTTGTTAGCAACGAAGAGGGAGGGGGGGAGAGGAGCAAATTATTGACATACATACCACTTTTGCTGCTTGCCTGCCTTGAGAGAAGAGGCTCGGTGTTTCTGTAGCACCAAGTGTGATGGGACTGAAAAGCTTTTAATGAGAGTGGTGGCGGTGAGGAGGGAACACAACTGTGCAGATGTGAGGGGTGGACAGGGGCAGGCAGAAAGGGCAGCCAATCAGGATGATGATTATTCAGCCCATCTGTCACCAGGCTACGCCCTCCCATTTTACCCCCTATGGCTACCTTAACAAAGTCCACCAGAAAACAAACATGCTCAGTTAAACCTTTTCTCCAAGAAGCTGGTCTTGTTGTTGGGATGAAATGCTGCAGGCCTGGGAGTGACCTTTCAGACTCTGTTGCAATTTTGTGTAGGTTTGGAAAGTTGGTAGGTGGTCTGTAGCGTGGGGATGATTTCAACTCACACAGGACACCCTGGGGACATACACTGCTTCTGGGAACCTTCCTAAATACAGTGGTACCTCAGTTTATGAACTTAATTTGTTCCGGAAGTCCGTTCTTAAACCAAAGCATTCTTAAACCGAGGTGCACTTTTCCTACTGAGGCTTCCCACTGCCGGTGCCCTTCCACCGTTCGGTTTCCATTCATTTTCCAGGACAAAGTTCACTAACTGGAACGCTTACCTCCGGTTTTGCAGAGTTTGTTCACCGAATAGTTCGTTAACAGGGCTGTTTGTAGACCGAGGTACCACTGTATTTCAAATGATATTAGTGCCTGACTAAAGCATACTACTACTACTACTACTACTACCACCACCACCAATAATAATACTATATCTCTTACTTGCAATAATGGCTTCTTAGGGTTATTTTTAGGGTCATGGTGACCTCCAAAATGCTAGTATTGTATGTCTGTGTGGTGGTGGGAGGGATTCAAGCGCATAATTTTGGCTTGCTCAATTAAAGTGGATTAAACTGCTCTGCTGCCCAAGCAAGGCAGGTGATGTATAGATTAGATAGATAGATAGATAGATAGATATAGATAGATGATAGATAGATAGATAGATAGATAGATAGATAGATAGATAGATAGAGATAGATGATAGATATATTCTTACTTGCACAGGGCTCCTGGGAGTAATTTGAAGCCAATCAGATCCATCTTTGAGAGAAGGGTATATAACTTGTGTCATTTCACACATGAGCCTGGAACTGATATATCCGCAGAAACTAGGCATATAAACCTCTCAGAAATAGTACTACAGTACTGTTTTGGTCTTCTATGGCAGCAGTAGTCATTTTTCTTAGGGGGGGGGAGGGCAGAAACATGACATAATAAGAAATGAAATCATTTTGACAGTATTATTAGGAATTTTCTTTTAGTTTAAATTAAATTAAATTTGTTTGTTTTGTGACGAATATTCTGTGCTCTGTTTGGACCATACAATTGGAAATAGCTGTCAAAGAGAGCAAAGAAGAATCTGAATGTAATTAACAGATCGATTGATTAGTTTCAATGCATAAAGCCTGCCCAGTCCAGGAAGTGCATGGATGATTGTACAGGCTTTCCAAGCAATTAAAAGGGAATTATATTACATTGTTGTAGTAGCTTTAAAAACAACAACCCTGCATCTTTAATAGCATGCCAAGATGTAAAAATCAAGGAAATGAAGCTTCTCTGCTTATATGGAGACTGGTGGAGGGTGGTGGAGCTTCCGTTACCAGTTTATTGCTGAACCCATCCATTGGGGGCACTTCCAGATTGTGGCCATTTTCAGGTGAGATTCAGTCAGATACCAGCTTCAGGTTGAAGTTGATTAGGAGATCTTGCAAACAGGCCGACTTCCCCAAAACATGAGACTTTTTATTAGAAGGAAAATGTTGGGAAATATGCTGAAAAGTGTGGCTAACCCTTGCTTTGATGCAACATCAACTAGCCTCCACATAAATCAGAATGGATACTCATGTAGCTGTCAACTTTTCCCTTTTCTTGCGAGGAATCCTATTCGGAATAAGGGAATTTCCCTTAAAAAAAGGGAAACGTTGACAGCTATGGATACTCATTAGATACCCAACACCATCTAACCCCTGAAAACAAATCAGTGTGTATATATCTACCCATTGTAGCTGATATCATATGAAATAGGATTACCAATTGATCAGGGGGAAATGGCCTGATCTTCTTTTGTACCTTTAACAGAAATTAGCAGATGAAGTTTACCACAGCATAGAGATGAAACTTACACAACATATTTAATATGATATAAAAAGAAACCAGCAGATCATGTTCCAAATGTTACAAGCATAAATCCAGAGTAACTCAACAAATATCAATAGGGTTACGCTAGCTTACACTGGTGTAACAAAAGGCCAAGTATGGCCCCATAGATAGATAGATAGATTAAATTAAAAGCAAGTTTCATGCCTGCATTTCCATTAAAATAAATGATCCCAAGCATGCCCAACCCCAACATGGGTACCAGTGGGATATGCTGAGTTTTATCCGGAGGGATGTCCAGTGGACTGAGGTTGTTTGGTCATTAGGGACAAAATCCAGAGTCCTCTGTTTTCAAGGGATTTGGATTAAGGCTCCACCCAAGCAGTGGTTAGGAAAGAGCAGAGATTGATTAGATAAGATGATAGATGATAGATAGATAGATAGATGATAGAAAGAAAGAAGAGGGTAGGTTGTGTATATTGCTGATTGCAGAGCTTCATTTACATTTAGCATGGTTGACTTCATACTGGTTTGTGAAATATAACAGAAGTGATAAAGGGGCTACAGGAAAAATCACGACAGGAGATATTTCTCAATGTTCAAGTCTTTCAGTCTGAATTGTAAGAGAGGATCAGGAAGACAGTGGAAGAATCTGGAGTTGTTTGATGGTTGAAGGTGAAACCCCTTAGGGTGCAGGGCCTTCTCTAGAAGTCTCTATTTCTATTATGCTCTGCTTGCATATTTATACTTCAATTATTATAAAGACACTCTATGTCTCCAGTGCTCTCTCATCCAAAGAAAGCTAGACCCCATGTCATTGCCTTTCAGCTCAGGTAAGTGGGAAGCACATAACAAAATCTTCAAATCCAATGTGAAAGGAGAAGAGAACATGAGAATGGCCAGTGAACTTAATCATCAGCTTTTCTGAGTCACCGGAGAGTCATTAGTGCTCTTGGAACTGAGATTGAAATATGAAAATGTACTGAAGAATCTCAACTGGAGAAGTTATGCACGGGTCCAAAGCCTAATTTTCTTTCAAGAAACCCCCACTGAGTTTCATTTCACTAAGCTGTAAAAAGACTTGATTGGCTATAAAGAAGGATTTAGAGAGCGTGCAGAGTGGAACCTGGCTCTTGGGGCAGAGCAAATCATGAGGATCAAAAGGGGCCTGAGTCATGGAAGTGAGTTGAGCAAACATAGCTCAGTCGGTGTCAAGTGATTAGGAGAAGAGAACTGCTCCATGTGTTGGAAGTGACTCACATAGGTCAGCAAAATAGGAAAGTCTTGTGCCCTGTTTATCCGCTGTGGTCCCCTTCTGATGTAATGTTTATGTTCACCAATTGACATTTCAAAATTATTACGCAAGCACCTCTGCGTGGGAATGTTACCTGGGGACTGTGACATTTCTTGAATGGATCTCTGAACAGAATCCTAGGGTTTTCAAGTAAAGTTGTGTTTGTGGACACAGCTCTGGACAAAGTCACATAGATGTCTAATCCTCATGCAATGTTTCCAGGGGTGCTGACATTGAGGGGGCCCGGCGTCACATGATGCATCCCACCCCCACCTAGCGTGCCAGTGCTCTCCCAGCAGCAGGGGCATATGGAAAGCACAGAGGGTGATCTCCCCCCTCTGCCTGTGCTGCCCCTGCCCAGCATGCAAGCACTCTCCCATCACCAGCAAAGGATGGTGGCCCCCTCAATATTGGGGGACTTGGCCCCCTGCGCACAAATACTGAGGGGGCCAAAGCCCCTTCCACCACCTATAGTTGCTGCCCCTGAATGTTTCCATGTGGCAGAGGTTTTCAATGTTATTGAGTCCACGGCTCCCTTGACCAAACACATTCTTTATGTGGCACCCCTATGGGGCTCAGGAGCCCAGTTATGTCACCCCTTGCCTGCAGAGCTGGCAACCTTTCACCCTGTTTTGAACACCCTCCCTTGTTCCCTCAGCCTCCTCTCCCCTCTCCTTGGGAGTCCTCTGGGCAGCCACTGCCACCCCCGGCTGCAAGGAGAGGTGCCTCCCAGAGGCACCATTCACCTGGGGAGCTTGTAGACAGGGCTACTCCAATAAACAGCTGTGCAAGCCTTTGGTAGGCAGAGATGAGAGAGGGCATCAGAGGAGGGAGGGGAAGAAAGAGGGACAGAGGCTAGTGTTGCCCGTTGCACCCTTGACCATCATTCAAGGCACCCCAGGGTGCACCCTGGTTGAAAGCCACTGTCATATGGGAAGTGCTTGCAAAATCCCATTTAAAAGCCTCTCTTTTAACTCAGGAGGCTATTAAGCCAGAAGCTGCCCTAGGCTGCAGGAGGCCGGCACCTAAATTTTCACCTTATTGGTAGGGCCTGGGTGTGGAATATTGCATATGGGCAGCTTAAATTTAAATCCTTGTGTTGCCCCTCTTTCTCAGTCTCAGTTCTTACTCCAGAAAGTAGGGTGGGTAGCAGGCTTTGGCTACAGCTTGCGGTTAGTGAGGAGAGCGCTTAGCCATGAGTCCCAGTTCAGATGACAAGCTAAGATAAAGAGACTGCAGCACAGCAGGAAAAAAAAAAGGACTGGGGAGGCCATGCTTTTTCCACAGAATTCCTCCTGAAAACAATGAGATAGTATTGTCCTGTCACTCCCGGGGGGGCGGGGCTTGATCTATGTGCATTCATGACACATAGTGGCAAGATGCCCAGAATGCAAGCCACTCAGGCTTTGACAACTTGATACCCTGTTTTTAGAAGTTTTTTAAGGAGACCTGGGGAGAGTAATGGAGGCAGCACACAGCCCTCAAATCATTTCACAAGTACTGGTACTTCTCTCTTTTTAAGTGTGTGTTCTCAGGTCGATTTTTTTTCTTACAGGTTTCCAATTAAAAATCTACCCAGAAATGGAATGGGATAGACTTTGCCCCCTCTGGAACTAGGACAGACTAGGCTTTAATGGGTCTGTCTGTCCTTACCCACAAGCAAGGCGTTAGCTATTTCAGGCTAGTATGACTGGTTAGGCCCCACTGGGCACCACACTGTAGGGGGCACCACAATAATGCTGTATGACAAAGTGCAAAAGGTGGGGGCACCAAATTTTAGCATCTCACAGGGTGCCGCTGGAATTTGAGAGCCTAAGGTTCACCACTGGTACCCTGCTGCACACCCCCCCATACACACAATGGATGGGTATCTACGCATCTATATGGGACTCTATTAATATCTGTTAGTTGCTTCTAACATAACAATATACCGTATGTTTATTGTTCCTAGTCCAAGAGAATAGTCCATGCTAGCTCAGTTCCATATTCCCACAGCTTTTCTCAACTGTATTTTGGCATGCCGTTGCTCCTCCTCTTTGAGTAATTTTACTGAAAGGAAAGCAACATTATGCTTGAGAGCTTCAAGGGGACATTGCCTGAAGGATGGGGAGGCACAATTTCCTTTGTGACATCTGTCCTGCATAGACATTGCAAAGGGAAATTGTGTGAAAGCTAGTGAGGCAACAGAGCATTCTGATAAGCAGCCTCTTATGCAAAAAGACTCCCACATACAAACACATACACACGACCCAGAAGATATGGGCATATCCTTCAAATCATCATGGCAATGGGATTGTCCTTTCCAGGTACACCGTTCTATCCTTTGGAAATTTCTCTCTAGTACTGTACTTGTGTCACAGTAGCAAACTGAAGTGGAATTATACTGTGGAGAAGAGAATGAGTAATTAATCAAGCAATTATTCTCATTTTAAAATGGTGCTGTTAAAGTACCATCACCCGAATCTCGGTGATCACATTATGTTTGGCAACTCAGGTAACATACTGTCATTATGTTGCTACCATCACCCGTATCATCCCATAAGGGCATAAACGGGGGGAATATCTGTTCTTAGTCACTCTTCATTGTACCCACAATGCACTGGCTCCACAGAATACAATCTGCTATGCACTTTTATCTATTGATTAGCACATGCCACAGTATGGTGTTCCTATTACCATGGTATTTATGAGTGCCCGTCATCTATAAATAAATTTGAATATCCCTTTCCTTTTGATCCAGCATCCTTATTAGACAAATGGCACTTTGAAATTTTACCTATTTAAATGAAATTGCTTCCTCTTCTTCTTTTTGGTCTCGATAAATAATAACAAATCCAACTTCTTTTATAAGCTTGATGTTGTTGGCTAGGGGTGGGTGGGTGCAAATAACTCTATCTGAAGTGTTAGACAGCAAGAGTACAACACAAATACTGCATCTGGGTGTGTTCTCTTCTCTAATTTTGAGATAAATTAAGGAGTTGGTATTTAAGAAGCCAGTATTACTGTGACTTCTAGCACTTCTGTGGATAATACACATATCAAAGAGGAATCTGTGGAACTCTCCTAGGAGACTCCGTAAGAGGCTGTGTAAAACAAGACCCGCAGAGTTTCCTGCAACAGAAGGAGGAGGAGGCAACAGAATGGAGCAGTCAAGAGAAGGCACTGGGGCAGCAAGGTCAGGGTAGGGATGATAACATATATTCCCCATGTCTAACATAGACTGAAATCAAGTCACTGTGCAAAGCCAAAGTCCCAGAGGAGTGGCGATTGCTGCGAGGCTTAGAACACGACAGATTGCAAGAGTCGGAAGCACATCATCAGGTCCAAGGGGATCGGTGGCTTCAGATGGTTGCCATCCAGGCGCAGATAGCGAAGACGGGGCACGTTTTCGAAATCTGAGGACGGATCGTGGAAAGCGACCATAGAATTGGGGCAAATCTGGGTCCCGTTGATTTCTAAACAGAGAAAAGAAAGCACAGCAGTAAGTTAGGAGAGCCAAGATATTTGATTCTGCACTTCTCTTTTCACCCTCTGAGCTTCCACCAATCGTCAATTCAAAATCCAAGGTAATGCAGTGGTCCCTTTTGGCCTTAAGACCTATGTTTCCATTCATCATTGTGAAATATCTGGAGAAATCCTCCTTGTCTGCTTCGAACAAGGGCTTTCTCAGCTCATTTCTCAAGTCCCATATCACCCTCCCCCCACTCATTTCATAGGCCTGTATAATCTAGTTTATAGATAATACAGACATCTTTCAAAAGAGGTTGGCAACAATGCTGTTGTGTGTACCCACACCACAAAAGTGAACATAGCTTTAAATGCACATAGATATAACATGTTAGAAAAGGGTGAATGTCACATTCCAAGGCTGCTTAGAAAAGGGATTAATGTAACACAGCTTGGTGTTTAGCATATTCAGACTAGTACACAATATTGCAATCTGTACATTCCAATCTTAAAGCAGATCCGATGTAAAGATGTAACTAAATGCTTGGTACGGATATGTGACTTCATTCATGTATAACTATTGATTGCTAAAGTGATGGGATGCATTTAGGTAAGCAATACAAGTTTTGCTCGTTGTGAACCACACGGAGAAAACTGAGAAACTTGCACTCAGTTTCCCATATGGAAGACAAACTGGCCACTGGGTCTCTCTGCAGGTTAAGCCTTGGAATCAGTCTGCATTTGTCACTGAGCAGCTCTGATTCTGGGCAAAAAGGGGGGGGAGGAGAGAAGGAAGAGGCTTAGGAAGACCCGGAACTCTGCTCCGAGGCCCCCACTGCCCTCCTATGCACCTCTGCCATCTGAGTCCTACCATACCAACAACACAGACATGTATTTCTACAGGGGATCTTGCATACCCTTCAAGTTACTTTTGGTAAGAGACATTCAGTGCCACTGAGATGGTGATGATAAGCAGCAGCAGCAGCATTATATCAACAGAACAGTGTTGTTCCACTTCTAGGTTCCAAAGACCTGCTCAAACATAACACTAGATGGCCTCAGGCTAATGAAGACTCGCATCCGTATTATTATTGTAAAATGAAACTATTCAAATGGCTCCCTCGCTGGCGATGTTATGAAGAGAAAATAAACAAGTTACTGGGCCTTTGCTGATTGTGATTTATAAATACTGGCTAACATTATTTAAAGGGGGGAAACAGTTGTTGTTTTTTAAAAAAACCTAACTAACAAAGTAGGCCATTATTTAAGGAGGAAAACATCCAACCTCTTCCTTTGGTCTATTCTTCAAAGAACCTTAAGTATTCTGTAATTCAGGGATCACTAACCTATGCTCCTCCAAATGTTCCCAGACTCCATCAGCCTCAGCCAGTGTGACAATCAAGACTAATGGAAATTGTAATCTGCAATATCTGGAGGCCCAAAGTGTTGGTCATACCTGAATCCCTAGTGCTCAGAGGGCTATACAGAAGGCTGGTTATCAAGTAGCCAACTACTACAGCCTTTCTTAAAAGGCCCAGTTTTTAGGTGTTAATTTATCTGTTGCTTAGCAGACATTTACTCTTATTTAGGTTACAATATTATTCATCCCTAGCCCTGACTGGCTCTGCCCCCACCCTCTTTATAACACTTCCCTGAAGTCTGATCAATTATCCAAAGGCACACATCACTGGTGAAAGTACTGAGTAAGAGTAAAGTCTAATACTCTTTTGTACCATGTTTAGGCAAAGCCAACCTGGAGTACTGGTAGTGGTGGTTAGTAAAATTATGTTTACATATGCTTCTTTCCTCCTCTGTGTCAATGGCATGGGATTTAGATATCAACAAGCCACCTTTGACTCTACTTGGGGATTTCAACAAGCCTGTTAGACAAAGGATCAGGGGGTTGTTGGCATTGCAAGTATCAGACTCATGGTGTATGTGTGTGTGTGTGTGTGTGTGTGTGTGTGTGTGTGAGAGAGAGAGAGAGAGAGAGAGAGAGAGAGAGAGAAGGGGGGGGTCCAATTCTCATTAGGACTATGGCAGAGACTAATGAAGCCACAGTCCCCATCCAACTCCCACCCTGAGCCAGCTTTTTTTTTTTTAAGCTATGCAACGTGAACAATGTGGCAAACCTTGCATCAGATTTGGAACTTGTTCATAGCACAACAAAGCCTTCATTTGATCAATTGCTTTCCTGTGCTTATGCTTCTGAAAGCCAGATACCTGGGCTTTAAAAATATATAACAGAAGCAAGCTGATATATTTCCACCTTCCTAGAGAAGCCAGGGTAGGGGTGGCACCTATTATTAAGAGAGAGGGGGGAAAACCTTTTTAAGGGAACCAGCTGAGGATGTAAGGCAAAGAGGTTGGTAAAAAGCCATGCTTGGCTCCAAGGCATTGCACATTATAAGCAATGCAATTATGATTAACAGCAATCTTAATTATAAGAGTTCATGAATCAGAATTTGCTTCCTGTTGCTAAATCATGAACCATATGTGCACTTGAATCTCAGTGCAAACAGTTTATATTTCATGCCATGGCACAAGCTAAGGATTATATCCATGCCATTTCTTCTTTTATTGTTTCAGTTATCTTGAGAATATTAGGGGGCATGGCTAGGATGGGGTCACCAACTTGGTGCCCATGGTCACCAGTGTGCCCACCAGTACCTCCTATGGTGTCTGCAAAAGGCCTTTGTACCTAACCCATTAAAAAAACTCACAACATAAGAGAGATGTTGGCTCTTCCTAATCAGTTCCTGTCTGCACTGGCTTAGCCTCTCTTACATTGCCAATTAAACATGCCAACATTTCATTATCTGTCATGCTTGGACACCCACCTTCCTATCCAATTTGAGCAGAGGAGAGGTGCAAAGTGCTTCTCTTTTTCTGCTCTTTGAGGAGTGGCAGCCATTTCTTGTTATGCCACATCCTGACGGCAGCCATTTTGTGACTGGCACCCATGGCCCTTCCTTAAAGTTCAAAATGTACCCACTGGGTGGTAGTCAATAACATTTTAGTCACAGTAGACCCATTTAAACTTATTTCCTGTCATTAATTTCTGTGGTTCTACTCTGAGTAAACTTAGTTGAACACCACCTACACAGTCCCCAAAAGGTTGATTCTCCTTATATTATATTTTCCCTCATGTAGCAACCTAGGCAGAGCAAAGGGCAAGGGTGGTGATGTCTTTTGCTGGAGTGCATCTCTAACTGAAAGTAACTAATGAAGTAATTAGTACCCTCAAACTGAAGCACTAATGAGACCCCATTACCATTTAGTAAAATATCTGCACCCACAAGTATCACATCCCTGCTGTGCAAAATGCTTTTATCCTTACTGCACAGATGGAACAACTGATGCTGTGAAACACATGCTTATCTGTTCAAAAGAAATTTTAAAACCCTTTAGGTCTTAATCCTGAGAAAACTCCCCAAGGGGTTAAGAAGTTTGGGAGTGCCTCCTGAAACGGGGCAAGTCCCATTGCATTTTCTAGGTGATATCCAAGCTAAGTGTCAACTTGAATGCTGTGGGGTTAAGAAGAAGAAGCCCCTAAATCTGAGCTCCACATTTCCCTGCTTCTAAAAGTAGGTCTCTAGCCTTTGTACTTGCTAATAAAAGATGTAAAGTGTGACCTTAGGATAACCTTAGACTAGAGACTCCAAGGCGTGTGAATCTAAGTTATGAATTTAAAACAAAAACTTGTAATTTTAACACAAGAATCATTAGTCTTAGATCCTGCCTGTGTTCTGTTGAGCACGGTAGTCATAAATGTTGCATCAATGAGCTAGCCTGGTTCAAATGAAATGTTTTTGCCTTGAGCTGCCAGATGTGAATAAAGTTACTCAGAATTTAACTACATTTTCTCTCTTTGGAGCCCATTGTATAAGTTGGCTTCATTGGCCTAACCCACTGCTCTTCCAGAGTGCCAAAAGTTTAAAGCAAAGTGAGGGGGAGTGGAAATAGCACTTGGGCCGGTTGTTTCATGGCTTATTGTTTCCTTTGCTTGCTTAGAATTTCTGGAAAGGATTCTGCATTCCTGCTCTCCTGCAGATGTTTTCAATCAAGGCAGCAGGTGGTGGGAGCTCCAGCAGCACAAACATCTGGGGGTAGTAAGGGCTTTGTTATTCCCATGACTGTGCTTGCGCAGTCTGTGGGATGACACCTGTCCTATGAACTGACACGGGCTTTGCCCAAAAGTGTATGGCCCAAAAGCATTGGCTAGATTTTCTGCCTCAGATAAAAAGTATGGGCACTATATATCTTGACTTGGGCACCATTTGCTGCTTCACCTCAGGAAGCAAAATGTCTTGGAGTGGCCTTGATGACCATTCTTAGGTAGCTTGGTTCTGCCACATGTTCTCCTGTAAGGTAAAGGTAAAGGTACCCCTGCCCGTACAGGCCAGTCGTGTCCGACTCTGGGGTTGCGCGCCCATCTCGCTTAAGAGGCCGGGGGCCAGCGCTGTCCGAAGACACTTCCGGGTCACGTGGCCAGCGTGACAAGCTGCATCTGGCGAGCCAGCGCAGCGCACGGAAACACCATTTACCTTCCCGCTAGTAAGCGGTCCCTATTTATCTACTTGCACCCGGGGGTGCTTTCGAACTGCTAGGTTGGCAGGCGCTGGGACCGAGCAACGGGAGCGCACCCCGCTGTGGGGATTCGAACCACCGACCTGACGATCGGCAAGTCCTAGGCGCTGAGGTTTTACCCACAGCGCCACCCGCATCCCTAAGGTAAAGGTAAAGGTAAAGGTACCCCTGCCCGTACGGGCCAGTCGTGTCCGACTCTGGGGTTCTGCCACATGTTCTCCTGTAGGCCTAGCCACCTGCAGATCTCTGCTGACTCACTTTCAATGGAATTGTTATTCAAGTAGAGGTGCTCCAGCTTGGAGTTGATGTAGGGGATGTTGGTGAGGTTGTTGTATGCCAAGTGCAACACCAGCAAGTTAGTGAGGTTGAAGGAATTCTTGGGCAGTCCTTTGTCGGAGAGCTTGTTGTAGTTAAGCCTAATGAACGCCAAGTTAGGGAAATCTTTGAAGTAGTTGTTGGGGATGTCTTCGATTTGATTCTCGTCTAGGAAGAGCTGGTGGATTGCATTGGGAACCGAAGGTGGCATCTTGTGTAGCCTGTTGTGAGCTAAGTTGAGCTGCATGAGGTTCTTGAGCCCCTTGAAAGTATTTTTGTTGAAGTTTCCATCATTCAGCTCATTGTGATGAAGGTCTAAGAGGATGAGGTGGTTCAGCTTGTTGAATACACCAGCAGGGATCTTAGAGATCCGGTTCCTGCTCAGCCGAAGTTGTTCCAGATTGGGAGGCAAATTGTTGGGTACTTCCCTAAGATGATTCTTCTCCATGTACAGGAACATAAGGCTTTCCAAACTATCCAGCACCTTCTTGTTCACCTTTGCGATGCGGTTGTTATCCAGATTAATCCACCTCAGCTCTGTGGCATTCTTGAAGGACTCCTCAGGAAGCTCATCAATGAAGTTATTCTGCAGGTAGATATAATGGGCCCTGGGTGGGAAAATGGGCACTTTTCTCAGGTTGCGGCTATCACAGTAAATGGCTGAAGGGAAATCTGGAGGGCAGAAACATTCTCTAGGGCAGTCTGGGAAAACTGAGGGAGGTCCAGGTGGCAGAGGCGGAGGCAATTCTGTAGGTTCAACTGGTTCAGAGGGTGGAGGAGTAGCACGCTTTCTTCCAGGCTTGCGCCTCTGTCCATTCACCTCACAAATCAGCACAAGAATGAGTGGGAAAATCAGTCTGGCAAGCCCCTTCATGGTCTAGAAAGTCACCTGTTAGAAGACAAGAAGAAACCATCAAAAATAGGACCATGACACATACATATTGGACATTAACTTAGTGTTGCTATCCCTTTTCTCCAGCACAGGATTTCCCCAACCAGAGTACTTTTAGGTGCAAAAGTGAAGTGTGTGTGTGTGCTTTAATGGCCAGTAGTACATAGCTTATTTGGTGCACAACTTTTTATGGTCAGGCAGAGCAATCCTGCAGTGGCATAGCTAGCTGTTAAGGTGCCTGGAGGTGGGGCAAGCCGCCCATGGAGTGGGGCGCAATGGAGCAGGACACGCCACGGAGCCTCCAAGGAGTCCGCCTGCCACCTCCCCTTCAGCTGTAGGGTGGCTGAGGGGGAGGCGGTGGGCAGACGCAAGCCCCATACTGCTGTTTCAGTCAGTGTGGAGCCTGCAGGCACCTGAACCACCACATCACACCCAGGAGGGACGCATGGCTTGAGCACACTGCAGGCCCCATGGTAAGCGCCGCCCCCCATGATGTGGCACCCAGTGCACAATGCCCCCCCAACTACGCCTCTGCAATCCTGTATACCAGGGGGTAGAGAACCTTCTTCAGCTCAAAAGTCACATTCTCTTCTGGCCCACCTTCTGGGGGCCACGTGCCAGTGGCATCCAGGGCCAGAGGCAAGTGGGCAAAGCAATGCATGTAAATCTTATATTTGTGCTGGAGGCTGGTTTCCACACACACTCATACACCCTGCTCTGTCCTCCAGCCAGGCAATGAAGAGGCATTAACAGGGTTCAAGTGCACATTCAAGCCAGGGACGAAGACTTAAGAAGGGTATGACTGGTAAGGAGTTGGCTGTTAGTGGTAAAGAAAAAGGTAAAGGGTCATCACTAAATAAGTTCTGCTCAGAGTAGACCTAGTGAAATTAATGGACCTATCTATATTCCACCTTTTAGGACAAGATCCTGGCAAACTGGCTTTCAAAAATTAGTATTACAGTACAGCAGTACAATAAATGCACATCAGTTATAAACCGACTTAGCCAATATAAAAAAATTCAAGAACAGCCTTAAAAACTTTTTTTTTAGGTCTTAAAGATTTTAAATCAGAGGATTGGTGGTTCATGCCCACTCCAGGGATGGCTGTGGGCAGGATTCCTGCATTGTAGGGGGCTGGACTAAATGACCCTTATTGTACCTCCCAACTCTGCAATTCTATGATCCTATGATAGTTAAACTCTGAATAGAACTAGGATTGGATACAACCCCAGGCTTTGAGCTCAGGTACTTTCCGCTAGAGCTCATACTATATTTAGCAAAATTTCAAAATCTGCTTAATTTTCAAATTTCAACAATGATATTTTGATGTTGAAATTTGTTATTTGTTACATTAATTTGTTTTGATTAATTTAATTTTAATTAGTAAACTAATTAACTAAAATGTGTTGTTGCAAATTAACTATTGAAATTACTTCCAAATGCTAATTGCTACTGCATGTCTGTTGACAGCTATTGACAGCTGCTGACAGCTACATGTCAGATGCTGTCTGCTACTGCATGTAAGATGCTATCAAATGCGGATGAAAGCCATCAGATCAGATCAGTGGCTGTTAAAATAAAGGCTCAAGATCGGAACTGTCGTATTTGGACTAACTAAAAGTATTGGAGCAGGACGAAATAAGAACATAATTCCCTGAAATCCAGAACACGGGAAGTCATTCAAAATAGTTTAATTTGGTATTGGATAATTGGCTTTTTTAATTGTATTATAATTTGGTGTTGTATTAATGTGGCTTTTATTGGATTTTTATAAATGAAAACTAATAAAAAATATTAATAAAAAATATGCTATCAAATGCTGATCACATCAGCCAACAGAGAACTGTCAAACCTTGCAAATATTTGTACATCAAATGTGGATGCCTAAGATATTCAGTAAATGTTTGGAGAACATGCATACAGCCAATAAACAAACAAGGAATATTTGCCATCAAAACTAGAAGAGAATGCTAAGGTGTGGGATTCTTTTGCTCCATTTTCTGGTTCCTTGACTCATACTTTAAGGAACTAGATGTACTGCTTTATGGTGGTAGTCAACTAAGTTGCACTCAGAGCAGACCTAGTGAAATCTGTAGTCCTAACACAGTCATGTTCATTAAGTTAAATCAGTCAACTTAGTTGAATACTGCACTCAATATCTTCAATTTTCATAGCTTTCTTTTCACAGCTGTGGATTTGTGAAAGAGATAAATGTGATCCCCATCTTGCAGCCTGGCAACCTAACCTTGGATCAGTGCCCCTTCTGCCATCAGCACAGCTGGCTTCCAGCCTTGAGTACAGGAGGATTCCCTGGGAAAGAGAGAGCACCTGCCTTTACCAAGGGCATTGCCTAAGCTCATGAATACATATTGCAGTGCATATATTTGGTTTTTGGTTTTTCATAAATCATGTGCTTACAGCTTGCCATCTCATCTCCTTTTTACGATACCAAAAGGAAGTGATTTGTGCAACAAACCCTGCAGTTGAAAATTGTTTAGGCCTGTTGTCTTATTTATATATCTCTTTTAATGAATTCTATAGATGGACAGCCAATGCTGTAAAACATACAAAGTTCTCCATTGTATCTTTTCCTCCCAATCCCACAGCATTCCGTACCTTTTAAAAATGGCTGTTTTATTGATGATGGTGATGATTACACTCGGACAGCTTTTTAAGTATATGTTTTAGAAAAACTGAGGAGCACCTGCTAGCCAGTTCCATTTTCAGAATACCTCATTTCTTTTTTCAGCACCATCCTTTCAATTGTGTGTGTATCCTTCATCTTGAAAACAAAGAGCACATCTACCTTGTTTGCAAGCATAAGCATCGCTAACTTCTGCAACAAGGCTGCCCTTCCCTTCATTGCATGGAAACTGGGACACCACACAGCCACTTCTAGAGTAGGTCTAGCATAAATATCTTACTGAAGAATAGCATCCTCTTCTTAAACAACCATCTGGAAAGGCCCTTATTCTCAAGAGTGTCAGAGGAATAAGAGGGCTTCTCATGGTCACAGCTGTGAAGGAAATGTGAGCAAATTGTAGCCTGTACAACAATGTCCTTGAAAGCTGTAAAGAACCTGTAGGTGTAATAGCAGCTGAGAAAGGTGCAGAGAACTGCTGTCTTCTTACTGAAAAGCTAATGTCTACCATCTCTTCATTTTTCATGTGAGGAAGGGAAACAAGAATCATGTACCTATACCTATGTATTTGGACTGTGGCTCCTTCAATTTTTTTTTTTTTTTAAATTGCTTGCAGCATTTGATGGGAGGCATTTTAACTTTCCATCCTGCCCTGTTTGAATCCTGTGCAAAATAACACAACAGCTTTTGATCCACCCAAACGTACATCTTGCACAAAGCTAATTGTTTGCATGGGAAAGCTGAACTAGAGAAAAAAGGGTGCCAACATACACAATGATTCTTTTTATTATTCTCATGATGACTTCATTTACTCGCTCCTGTTCTCTGCTTGTGATATATCCTAATAAGTATTTGGGGATCTATCTAATTCTGGGTCCAAATTATTTTGTGTGGTATCACTGAAGATTGGAATTCAATTGCACACCCACCACCATCCTACTTTTATTAGTGTATCCTTTAAATTTTTAAGGACTTATTCATGCTTAATTGTGTTGCTTAATCTCTGCTGGGCTGTGTCTTAAACGGTAATTGTGATTTATTTTATTTTCCATATTGTATCCTAGCCATATTTAGCTGTGCCACCCAGAGAACATAGGATGTCATCAATAAAAAGAAAATAATACTCAAATTATGGAATTAAGTTTTCCCATGCTTTCCGTCACTCCATCCATCAGGCTTCCTAAGGACTTGGTTCTCATTAGGCATCAAAGTAAGTGGCAGATTTTTCAGCATACCAAACACAGCTCCAATTATGGCCAGATTTTTAAAAGAATGTGACACACACAGAGAAGGGACATCTGGTCTTTAAAACCCTGAAGCACAAGGCAGTTGGATCCAAACAGGCACAGTGGTTGTCATCATTAAAGCCATGCTAGGGAAATGGCTGGGTCCAAGAGATTTTGCAACCGTCAACTTATTAAATCCTTAGCAAGGCAGGAGCAAAGCCGCCGAGGTTCCAAGGTTGCGAATACACCAACACAATGTATCTGGCAAATGTGAATGCAAATTGTCAGAACATATGGAGAGGAAAGGGAAAGTTGCTTAGCTGGGGTGTGATGAGGTGGGCGAGGTTACTTTCTTCGTTTCCTGGCATCCTCCTACTGAGCGTGGAAAAATCCTGACAGCTTTGAACCACAGTGTTCCACTTCAGCACAAATGGATATTTTAACAGCACTGCCACCAAGCGCCTGCACTGAAATCTGCACCACACTTTTTCTCTCAGTTGTAAAAATGCACAAGCAGGGCCTAATTAACTTAGGAGCCTCAAATGGTGCCAAGGGGCACTGGAGCCATTAGAAGTTCTGCCAAAATGGTTTATTGCAGCTTTGGAACACGTTCAATGGAAATATCGCCTTAGTGATCTATGCTTAATATGGAAGCTGACTCACAAGACAATGAATCATTACCAAATAGTCTTAAGGGTGCTGTCAGGCTCTCAACTACAGCAACCAGCAAAACAGGAGCAAGCTTCTCCCTTGGGCAGAAAAGAAATGGTTTCAGGCCCATACTCTATCACAAACTTCCTTTGCAACCATAGACAAGTCATTGTGCTTGTTTTGGAAACTTTTCCAGAGTCTCTCTGCAGAATTGTATTAAAACACTGGACCCGTGGCCCTCCAGTTGTTGACTTTTGAAAACAAATCCAATCACAAGATTTAAAGTCAAGGGACCATGTTGAATTTTGCAGCTCCTTCTGCTTATTTCACCTAACAGAGCAGCTCCTAACTGTGGTCTATTAGAATGTATTCTGCGATTGGTCACGCTGGAAACACTGAGTCAAGCTGGTGTAACTCTAGGAACTGAAATATCTCCATTAAAATGCACAGGTAGCTCTCTCTCTCTCTCTCTCTCTCTCTCTCTCTCTCTCTCTCCTCCCCCATGCAGCTCTTTTGGATCAACTGACAAATCACAAACCAGGACCAGACTCTGATAATATGGTGCAAGAAAAAAATTGGGTGCCCCCCAATATTCCTTATTTTCACAATAATTATTTTTGGTACAGCTGCTTTTTATGGACCTTCTCAGTATGACCTGTACAAATATAGGTGATATCATCATCATAATTTTGTGCCCCCTCAGCTCAGCACCTAAATGTGGCGCTGCCCAAACCCAACTGAACACACACAGAGAGAGAGATTTCTAGTTTTTAAAGTATACACCTTTCAACCCATTAAAAGGGCCTATTCAGAGCCTATTCCAGTCATGGCAATGGGCCCAAATTGTCCTGCTCTGACCCATATGCCACACTCCCCCTCCTATTTGTACTAACACCCGCACACAATGAGCAACCACAGAGATAAACAGAGTTGTGCATCTCTGTGCCACACAGGCAGGCAGACCTATTCTGTCCTATTAATTTCACTGTGGCAGAGCAATGCACATATTGGTTGCTCTGCTTGCTGTGCTGTGCAGCCTACCAATATGTTCAATTTCCCCACATCTGGGAACACGGCCTTTGTAAGTAAAGCAAGATAAGAGAAATGTTCTGAGCTGTAGGGGATTTCTGAAGAATCGGATACATGAAGCCTGTGTGGCTTAACTCTATCTTATAATAGTGCTCACAAGAGTCCGTTTTTGCCAAGGCCCGGCAGTTGTGTTTTATTGTACTAAAGAAATGCTTACAGGCTGACTCTTTTCAGTTCTCTAGCCTCATGCTGTAAAACCAAGTTCCTTATTGCTTAAGATGCTGCTAGTGAACTTGAATATCATTAGCTTCTTTTCCATGTATGTGGAATTACAGCTCATATATGGCCCACTGGATGACACTTGCTACCAAAAGAGTAACCTTCCAGGTATGAAAGGCCACAGAAGTGGCAACAAGTCAGATGTTACGTCCAGAGATTATCATACTAGTAGCGAAAGAAAGGGCTCATTGATGCTTTCGTTTGTCCCGTGCTTAGAAAACACGAGTCCAAGTGGTTTTCCGCTTATTCCATGCTTTCTAGGTACAGGTCTGAGCAATTTGGCCTTTGTTCTGTCATTTTCCCAAAGAAAATCTGGTCTTTGGTGTTAAACTGGAACAAGTAGCAATCAGCGGAAACCTTATTGCCATTTGTTCCAATTCAGTGCTAAACTGCAGCTTTTCCCAAGGGAAAGCATTGGGGCAAACAGAAGTGTGGATGACAAGAAAGAAAGAAAGAAAGAAAGAAAGAAAGAAAGAAAGAAAGAAAGAAAGAAAGAAAGAAAAGCACAAAGATAAAAGCCCTGAAAAACATAGGCCATGCTTATTTGAGAGCTATATGGCTTAAAAATGAAATCATAGTCCCACTCTATTCTGCCTTGGTCAGACCACATCTGGAGGCTGGGTCCAGTTCTGGGCCCCCAAATTTAACAAAGATATGAACAAGCTGGAACATGTGCAGAGTAGCGCAACCAAGATGATCAAGGGTCTGGAAACCAAGCCTTATGAGGAATGGTTGAAGGAGTTGGGTATATTTAGCCTGGAAAAAAGGAGATTGAGATTGAGATATGATAACCATCTTCAAATATCTAAAGGGCTGTCACATGGAAGATGGAGCAACCTTGTTTTCTCCTGCTCTGAGGCTAGGACCCAATAGATTCAAGTTGCAAAAGGAGATCACGACTCATCATCAGGAAGAACTTTTGGCAGTAAGAACTATTCAACAGTGGAATGGACTCCATTTGAAGATGGTGAGCTCTCCTTCATTGGAGGTTTTTAAGCAGAGGTAAGCCCTGAAAATTAACAATATAACTACTTAGCTAAAGTGGGTTATAGGCCTGTAATCACAAGCCACATTTATGCTAATACCCAGACATGGTACTGTGACAATGGATTTTTGAAATTTTGACAGCAGTTGACCCGCCTTTGAACAGACTTGCTAAGCAGATAGGCTTCTGCAAGAAGGAAGATTATCAGTCAAAGCTAACCTAAAGTCAATTCAGCAGAGAGACACTTCCATAGGATTACAGGATGGTGTGTGAAAATGTGTACAAAGCATCTTGCTTCTCTCTTAGACAAGCCATTAGATTGACACAGAGCTTGTAGTCTTGATTACATTGGCTTAAAAAAAGAAGAAGTATACAGACTCGCCCTGTGTTTTCTTACTTGCTCAAGTGACATGGGTCAAAATGATTTACAGAGCAACCTGGCACTGTAGGCCTGGAAGCCTCTCACATATCACTGCTCCAAGTGTGTTACTTTATTTCCTACCGCTGTTGTTGCAAATGTAATGTGATGGTGCAAAAATGTTCCATGCGATACATCGAAAGTTGGGGATAGTGCTGGAAATATTCAGCGCAGTACACAAAGGGTTGCCAGAGTTTGTGTGTGTGTACACACACACCCATCATGTATTTAGCATACTGTGGGACAAACTACAGATAAAGCTATGAATAGCCATGCCTGGACAATGCCTTTTCCTTTTCAAAGAATAGGATAAAGAATAAAAGGGAAGGGAGAGGTTAGAAATATTCCCTCGGCAGGTGCTTCCTCCCCGCCTCCAATGTTCTCAGACAGCTGGATTTCCACACCTGGTGGTACCGTAAGGTGGTACCATCACCACCTTTTCATGACATTTTTGCAAGACAAATGAGGCCACTGGAGCTTTGTTATACGTCCCTGCAGTGGATTTGTCTCTGAAGCAAACCAGCAATCAGTGCAGAACACAGTCACATCCTCCATTTGACTCCATTGCTGTTCCATCTGCACTGGCTACCAGTTCATTTCTGAACCCAATTCGAAGTGCTTGTTAGTACCTTTAAATCAATAAACCAAATAGCCTGGGATTAGGTTACTTGAAGGACCATCTTCTCCTGCATCAGGGGTGGGGAAACAGTGGTCCTCCAGCTATTGTTGAACTTCTACTGAGGCATCTGATCAAGGCCTGCATTTTAAAATGAGCTTAAAAAATATATTTATAAATGTTTGTATGTTTTATGCCCGGCATAAAGCAGCTGGCTAAGTACTTTGGCAGTTGTTTATCTCCTTGAATAAGGCCCCCCTGATTTATAGCAGTAACAGGAGACACGTTTCTCGAAGTTGTAAAAGGGAAATACAGGCTGGGAGCAAAGGTTACATTGACCCTACAAATTACAGAATACAATCAAGCTGCAAAAACACTAATTAAGAGTTGGTAAATAGTAAAATTTATTGTTTATTAGAAAATAATACCATGTGCCTCCCATTAGACTCGAGTCATATTTTCATAAGGTTAAAGGGCAAGAGCTAATAGGAACAGCAGCTGGCTGGGAAAAGGGAGTTGTAAACTGAAGAGGCTTCTCTCTGAAGCTGTTTTCTACTGAGTTCCTTTTTTACTTTGCAAAGGCCTTTCCTTCTAAAAATCTATCTATGTTAATGTATGAAATATATTGGCTTAAATGTAATTATGCAAAGGATTTAGAAAGTAAGAAATGTTAGATTCTTATGTTAGATTCTTATTTCATTGATGGTGTGTGAGAATGTGAACCCAAGATCTCTGTTACCATGAGCCATCTGTTTTAGCCATCTGTTTTGGAGTGAAGGGGCAATAGGTTAATAGGGCAATAGAGCAAAAAGGTTATCTGGTAATTAAGGTGCCTGGTCGAGGCAAATATAAGATATATGGCTACTTGTCTGCCATTTATGGATAGAAGGAAATATAGCTCTTTGTCTCCCATAAAAGGTAATAGGAAATGGGTGTATCTTTTATGATTGGTTCTAGCAAACAGCCAATAGGAATTTCAACCAGGCTGATTGGACAGAGGCAGCCAAAGGAGGAGCAAGGGGGCTGGGCTGAGGAAATATAAGTGCTGGCCATCAGGGCTGGAGTGGGCAGAGCTTTGGTAACCATATACCACTGTGTCTCTCATTTATTTGTCTGACAAATAAATTATTATTTTAATTTCTCTGTTGCTGTGTTGAATATTTCATTCCAGCTAAGCGTTAACCACAAGCAGGGTGCTACACTACTGCCATCATTTCTGACTATTGGCCATGTATGGCTGGGGTTGATGGGAACTGGTGGCCAGCAACATCTGGAGGGCCACAGCTTCCCCATACCTAGTATGGAGAAACTATTACATGAAAAGGGTTACAGGCTGATGCCACAGAAGAGTTCACAATGATGAGCTGCTTTCTCTTTCAGGGGGCAATCACACTTAGTGCAAGATTATTTTTTCAAGTGCTCTTGTGAAAGCATCCCTGCTTAGCAGAATCAACATTAACAATTCCTATTACTTGGCAGCAGCTTCTGTTGATTCCTCAGAGAATTCAGTGTTGCCTCCACTTTCCTTCCCATGAGAATTCTGGTACTTCACATTCTTTCTCTCCCAGCTCTTTTTTCTTTGCATGGCAAGCCTTTCTCAACTAATTAACTTTTCCCTCCCCTGTGATTCCAATGATTACTGACCCTATGCTGCTATTCAACATTTTCCTGAGCTTAATAGCAGCGTAGGGGAGCAATTTCTATCAATATGGTGGAAGGGGCAGGGAAGATATTAAGCTTTCCTCTTCCTGCAATTCCATCCCTGTTTCGCTGCTCAGCTGACTGGAGAACTGCTGAGAATGGTGAAAAGTAGACTGGACTGAGGATATGTTGAGGACCATATAAGATTAGTCTGTGGGGCAGAAACAGCCCAGATAATGGCTAATTGGGGATTATGCATAATGACCAGAAAATGTACATAATAACATCAATATATGCACATTTTCTAAAGTGTGTTGGGGAAATGTGCACACTTCCTTCTTCATGGACAGATTATGTGCACACTCTCCATGAAACCTCGGGAGTATGTACAATAAGATTACCAGACATCCCTGTTTACCGGGGACAGTCCCCAGATTTACAAATCAGTCCCTTGACAAAATCCATTGAAGTTGAAAAGTGTCCCTGGATTCATTAGAAAAAAACTGGTAACCTTAATGTAAAAGGGCCAGTTGTCGTGCAACTTAACTGCTCACTTTACAGTCATATACAGGACTGGCTCAAGATATTTTGGCACCTGAGGCAGACCACAAAATGTTCAGCCTCCATGCCAGGGAAGAAGGAGTGAGTGAAGATCTACATCAGGGGGAATAAAGATTTACATCTCGAACAGGTGTGGGAGAAGGAGACTAGCAGTGTCTCCAATCCACCATGTGGCTGCTGTAGATGCGACATTAAGAAGAGAGATGGTATTAGGAAGGTGAGGAGGTAGCAGATTCAACCTCCAAGGAGCACGCTGCAGCTGCTGCTGCTTCTGTCGCCACCACAGTATCAGCAAGTGATGCATTCCTTGGAGGCCATATCAGCTGCCCCTGTGGATCCTGCTGTCTGAGGTGGTCATGGCACCTTGCCTCATGGGTGGGCTGCTCCTATTCATTCATATATATCCGGCACCGGGAGTGGCGTACATCTGGGAGCGTGGCTGGCATGCGTCCCAGGGGGCATGGCACGCTGCCCTTGGGGGGGAGGTGCATGGCAAGCTGCACACGTTCCAGGACGTGCATGGCAAGTGGCGAGTGTCCCAGTGGTGCGCAGCAAGCGCCAAACTTCCGGGGGGCGGGGGCAGACGTGATGACACCCCCCCAGATGGCACCCGGGGTGGACCGCACCCCTTGCCCCCACCTTCATCTGCCAGTCTTAAAGACAGCCAGACGAACTCCTCTGTGAGGGAATTATACACTCTGGGCACTCACCACCTTTGTTGCCAACAGCGGTGGCACTCTGAGAAGGAACTCAGTAGAGGATCTTAACTTCCATATAGCTTGGTACTCATAAAGCAGTCCTTAAAGTACCTGGTTCCGAAGCCATGACAGACTCATAGCTTAATACCAACGGCTTGAATTGTCTTCAGAAACAACATACCCAGCAAAAATAAATAAATAGATAAAAATCTTGGTGAAGACACAGGAGAATTATCAAAGCCAGGCTGTACAACTCCCTAGTCCACAAGATCACATTGTTCCCTTTCTTTGTGGGCTTCAGGCCAACACATTTTTTATTCTGGCATGCTTATAGTTTGGCTCATTCCTAAATCTCACTGCTGAAAAGTATACTGCTGGTTACCAGCTGCTGTACTGTTTTTGTTGCTTTTTAAGGTCACAGTGTGATTGTTCTTCAATTATGGCGCTGCTTTCATTGTGAGTTGGATAGGCAGGATATAAATATTTCAATTAATATACGAAACAATAAAACATGGAGTCCATTAGTGGTCCATTCCCACAACAGTATTTTTTTGCAGCATGTTCACTGAAGAAACTGATCACCTCTCTGACCCCCATGTCCCAGTCTTGGAATGCACTGTCCCAACAGCCAAACTGCTTTCCTTTTGGGGCTGCTTATGGCTTTGCTGCAGCTGAATTTAGTATTTATTGTCACTTTAGTGTGGTTAATAGTATGCTTAGTTTTAATTGGGTTTTATTTTTCTTGCCTTTTACTGATTTGTAAGCTGCCTGAAGAATTGGGAAAGTGGGGTTAAATATAATCTTAAAATACATAAAATATATTTTTATGTATTTTTCCAGGATGCTCTACTAATATTATACCAGCACTATAATGTTCAAAACTTCACTGATGTTAGCAAAGTTGTCAGGTCTTAAATTAAAGCAAAGAAGGTGACGTTAAACCGCATGCAGACATTTAAAGGCCATATATGGACAAATCTGGTATTCAATGCTGACATAGTAAGAAACCAATACTGTACCTATGATTAATTGGGGACATAATAATAACAGTGTATCAAGTCAAATTCCCTCTGTGGTTCCACATTAAAAATAATTAGCTGACAGGGCATCTGAGATCCGTGTATATTCTGAATCTGCTGCCACCAAGCCTTGGCAAATGGCTAAAATAGTTTATATTCCATCATAAACTAGCTAGATGTTGCCACAAATGCATGGAGGCTGGGCAGAGTAGGCATGTCCAATACTGCTGCCCCACCATGGAATGAGTTTCTCTTGAATATGCTTTAATCAGTGCTTTTTTCTGGGGGGATGCAGGGGTATACCCCTAAACATTTTTTGAATCTAAGTTTGGCCTCATTGAGGGGCAGTATTTCAGTATGAGTATGAAAATGAGAATACCCCTAAACATTTTTTTAAGAAAAAAAGCATTGGCTTTAATAACAGGATCAACCTGGGTATTTTTAAAGATATTTCACTAATGAAAACTCAAAAATCTCTGAAAACATATCCCCATATTGTAAACAGATAGAACCCTAATGTGGATGGTAGTGAAGTGTCTTCTTAACTCAATCCTTAACCATGCTGAGCTTCCACGTAGGTTTGGTCCACACAAGGACTTCTGCCTATATCCAGTGAATGTAGGCTCTGAACACAGGATTCCTACCCTTTATTTTTCAAGGGTAAAAATCACATGAACATAGTCATGGTGTATTGGACTTTCTGTGTAAGGCCCCTGTGCAGATGTGAGTTCCAACACGTATGGTCAGATACGACAAGGACGCTGGGCAATTGGTACAATTCTCCTCTTCCCATGTATAAATGCTTTGACTGCCCATGCAAAGTAAGATAGGACTACTATATATTTATGGGAAAACTGTGACCCTCCAAGTGGTGTTGGACTCCAACTCCCATCAGCCCCAGCCAGGATTGCCCAATGGTCAGGCATGATGGGAGTTATAGGCCAGCAACATCAGGTGTGTTTGTGTGCACAGGCTTCCCGTCTCTGTTTTGAGGGTTGCACAGAACAGCAAAAAGGGTGAGAAAAACTGTCCCTGCAGGAATTGCCATTTTAACATAACAATCAAAGGTTCAGGAGCCCCTCCTCTTATGCAGCGGGTTATCCTAATCTCCACTCTATTTAAGGTGCTTCACCAACTTAGTGTTAGCATCATTAGCAATTGGTGGACAATGGTTTTAGATTGTCAAAAGCATTTGGAAGCTTCTAAAAATTAGACTTTCCACATTCAAATATGGCTTGCGGTTTTTAAAAAATGGAATATTTTGTGCCTGTGCTGTGTTTCTCTACAGTCTACTAGCCTCAGCATGTTTCATTTCATCAACCGTCCATCATACAGCTAGGAGTCCAGCTGCCACTGACATCATGTATGCAGCCAGCCAACCAGCCAGGCTCCATCAGACAGCTCTTGCCCCATTAACAAACAGCGCTGTATGGCTGTCAAGTTCCCAATTGGTCTGCGGTGAGGAAATGTCAACAGTGTTACGCTAACAAGAAAACACTGAGGACCAACAGTAGACAGAGTCAGAAGTCAAAAAGATTGGTCTGAAAATATTTTGGGAAATGGCGAGATCTGCCAGTAAGCAGGCCTGCATACGCTTTTTCCAATGATTGCAGATGCTTTCCTAGGAACCTCTCTTACATACATATGATGGCCTGGCAGTGTCTTTATTTGGAGAGTGGACATGTCTCCTACTTTACACATGTCCACCATTGAAAGGCTGTCAATTCTCTGTTTGGAAGGATCTTCTCTTTGCTGTCCAGTTCAATGATAAACAGATGTAGGAAGGGAGCGCAAAGACATCTATTTCTAAATTTGCATCTACAAAATATAAATCAGCAAATTGAAAGTTTATGCAATTCTGTGTCCTCTTTTGCCTTCTTTCTCAGAGATGCATTTCTTATTTTTATGGTGGTGCATAAGTGGCCACCCTATTTGCATCATCAAATAATACTGACACCTGACACCCCCTCCTCAAATCCACGCAACACCACAAGGTCTGTCTGAGGCTGAGGAAGATACTTGGGCAAAGGGAAGGAACATGCACTACAGGGCTGTTGGCATACCGGATTAGTGGGAAGCTTGGCCGCCTTTGACATATTTTGGCTGAGCTGTCTCAAAACATTCCTGGGCATCTAAGTTACAGACTCTTTCCATAAAGAGATTCTGTGCCTCCTCCCCTCCCCCTGTATTTGCTGCTATCTGTCTCATCTTAACCCTAGAATTCTTTGGTTCCTGCTTTTTCCCATCATCATAATGGGGTTGGGGCTTGGAATCATTAGCTCCAACACAAAATGGTGGACTCAGCGGGGACATAGCATATGAATTATGGGAAGAAAGTGAATGTCTCAGAAAACTATTTCAGCAAAAGGATCTTTTCTGTAAGTTTAGTTCCCTCTAGTAAGAACACAGCCTTTTCACTCTAACGTCCCTCATTTTGCTCCTCTGGATTTTATCCCAAAAGTTTCTTTTTTATATGATACAAGAACTAATGTAAGCTTCTTGTAAGGAGAACTAAAAATGAATTCAGATCTGGAGGCACTGGAGGCGAACAAACCTCCATGCATGCAAAATGTGAACACTGCATTTCAGGAGCTTCCTATAAAGTCATAAAAGAAGTGCCAATCTGCTTTGAATTAGCATAGAACTTTTTAGTTTCTGATGATGCAATCTGTAAGTGTGTCATTTATTTCTATATTTATGTAGCCGGGCTTTCAACAATATAATACACATTTATTTACTAGCTCAACCCTGAAATAACATTTGTGAGCTGAGCTCACAAATTATAAAGGATGGATGGTGAAATTAAGAATGAGCTGGCCGCAAATAAACAAACTAAGTACACTACAAAGCAAATTTTAAGCAAAATCCAGCGAAAATCATACTTAAATCCCACTGTTTAAATCAGAGATAGTCTGGGCTGAATCCATCCCCCAAGGCAACTTTATTTGGCCTTGTTGATTGTACTGTGCATGTTATGGAGGTGTAACAAGAACTCTGGCCACAACTTTGAGTCTTAAAAAAGAGAATGTCTCACACCGAATGTAACTAACCTGTAGGAAGGACTCTATGATTTGGAAACAGAGGTGTTGTATGTACTTTGGTTGCCCAAGAAAATCTTTTAATAAAAGCATAAAAAGGAATGCTGTAAGAAACAACTAGTCTACCTTTAATATATTTTTTTGATTTTGTATGTAACATGTACCATATGTGATTGAACCTGAGGTCTGTTTGTTCAGCAACATACCTTTCCAGCCCCCTGTCTGGAAAACAGTGGCCCTCAGAACACACAGAAGGGGGCAATCTGTGGCCTAACTCTATGGGATATAATTTTAATTGAAAATTATATGGCTAGCTTGATGTATTTGTCTGTTATGAAAAGTAGCTAACTTCTAAAGTTTCTCAGAAGATGCTGGTTTGTATGACCTGGACATGTCTGATGTGTTCAAATTCTGAAAGTGGCCTAAATATTCAAATAGGTTCTTAAATCATTTTAGTTAGATTCTGCACTCAGCGTCACCCTAAGTCCCCATTTTTAAAAACATGCAAGGAGAAGCCAGCCGTGTAGGGAAAATGTGAACAACCCTTTGACCTATTTTGTGGGTGTCTTGAGAGAGTCAGGACGTGACCCCAGTGTGTTTTCCAACCAATGTATACGGGTCACTGTGAAAATCAAAGATACAAACTCTCTCCTTCTTGTGGCAGTTTTTGACAAGTTCTTAGATCATTGGGGGGAATATGTAGTGAGGCACTTAATGAAATCCACAAGACTCCCTCCCTGACTTCCCAAAATTTAATTAATTATTGGCTTCCACATAGATTTCTAAAAGCAATAGCTTAGGGGGCTGTAGCAAATCTGCCCTGCCTTTGACCCAAGTCCCGATCGCAACCTCTGCGTTAGTAGAGACAGGACCTTTCTCTCCAATTAACTGGAATATATTTTTCTATGGTTGAGTGGACATAGGTGTGCTATAGGGCAATGCAGGGGCCGCCAACATGTTACCAACTCACACCAACCTAAGGCAGCATGGCCTATGGTCAGGGATGAGGGAACCATGTTGGCTAATGAGTAACGGCTAGAAAGACAGGGCTTGCAAGAGGCAGTTGTTCAAATTCTTTTTCTCTTGAACCAAGCAGGTAAGATATGCAAGGGGCAAAACTCCAGGGCTGATCCATTTGGCAAACTCCAGAATATCTGACTGAAAATGTTTTATTTTAGGTAAGATACCAGATGCGAATTGAAGTGAGCAGCACTGATTTAGGCAAAAATGCACAACACAAGAGAAAGCAAAAGAATAATTTCTCTTGCCATACATATAGCAATCTGGCAGATGAACTCACCATGTTAGATGTGAGGTAGGGTTGCCATATTTCAAAAAGTAAAAATCCTGAAACCTGCAATTTCAAGCTTTTGGAGCTGTTTCTGCTGCTTTTTCCATCGTGTTGCCATGCACCCAGTTTTTCCTGACATTTTGCCAGTTCGGCAAAATTCCCTCCTGACACCATTTTTACACCCCAAAACCAGGACATGTCAGAAATTTTCCTGATGTATGGCAAGCCTAGTGTGAAGAAAAGCTCCTTGGAAGTCCAAAAAACTGAGTTTGTAGGCAGAGATATTCTCCTTTTGAACTGTGTGTACGGTATACAGTGCAGAAGAGCTAGGGGAGATGAGTGAACTTACCACAACTGAGGAGGCAGAGACTGGGCTTTCCCCTCCAGCCAATGGGTGTAGCTATTTCCCAAGGCTTGGCCTATAGAAACTGTCTCATAGGCGTGGTGTAGGATGAAGAACACTAACATGTTTTGCATGTTAACTTTTAACACTGGGGTTTGAGCAACTGACAGATTCTCAAACATCAGAAGAGCAGATAGTGAGAAGGTGAATTGGCAGAAACTCCTTTCTTTCTTGCCAGACTAGACACTCAAACAGATTTGCTGAGGCAAGTGAATTTAGGACACTTGCAACGTGCCAGGGAAGCTGTCGTTTGATTACTCCAAAAACAATTCAATATGGAGTGATCAATATTTAAAAACAAGGGCTTTCACAGGGCCGTCACAAAAGACAAGGAGACTGTTGTTGTCTACCAGGCTCTGTCCTGCCTTCCTTATAATTCAAGTACGTTTGCTGCTTTTGACTTTCCAGGGGGCATTCTTGTGTCATAATAGAATATGATGCCCCTTTATGTGTACAGCTTTGCCTGTGAGGAGTGAGCAAAAACCTCCTGCTGCATTGTCTTCGATTTAATGGAGGCTGTGAATAGACAAAGGGCTAATCCACACTTTGCTTGGTTATGATTTAGCGCAGAAGAGTGGGTTTTCCTGGGGAAGCCACAGGGCAAAAGCCAAACCACTCGGATTGGAAAACTGCTTGAACCCATGCTTTCTAGGCACAGGGCAAGCAGAAGTGTAGGCCTAAATCCTTAAAGCACATTCCAAGCACATCCCCCCCCTTAAAGAATTCTGCATAGTTTACCCCTCACAGAGTTACAAATACCAGCAACGCTTAACAAAATACAGTGCCCATAATTCCCTGAGAGGGAAAATGTGCTTGGAATGTCCTTTAAATGTATAGTGCTTACGCAGCCTGAGGCCTTCCTACTCCAAAGGCATTTTGCTTTCTGAGGAAAGGATAGGATGGCACACATGCACCCCACATAAAGAAGCCAACCAGACTGGCAGATGAATCTTAATTTCAGCACTGGCGACAGGACAGCGTCCTCCGCCACACCTGAGGGCAGCGAGCCGTGTGACACACACTCTTCTGTCCTCCAACACTATGTTGCCACTTGCTGCCCACTCAAATATACGCTGCCGTGAAGCAGCAGTGGTGGGCCAGCATGTGTTACCTGAACAGAGCTATGCATCTGCACACACATAGCTGCTAGAATATGAGATGTGTACGCTGACTCAGTCAAGGGCCTTTCCCAGTTGTGTCTGTGCTACAACAGAAGAAGGTGAGAGACAGCCAAAGCCGGCATCCAATAATGTAAATGAGCCTAGCTGGCAGAAAAGTGGCTGTGGAACAGGCTCCATGGTAAAAGACATGGGGCAGGTCAACACAAACACATAAAACTGCTTCACTTCTCCTTATCAAAAAAATTGGAATATTTTGGTGCCAGAGCATCAGCTATAAGTAATTACTTGCCACAGATAAGAGCCACCAGTTAGAACTGTAGAGTTGGAAAGGTTATCTCGTCCAACCCCCTTGCAATGCAGGAAGTTCAACTGAAGCATCCATGGCAGATGCCCATCCAACCTCTGCTTAAAAAGCTCCAAGCAAGGAGGGTCCATAATCTCCCAAAGGAGTAAGTTCCACTGTCAAACAGCTCTTAATGAAAGAAACTTCTTCCTGATGTTTAGTCCTCTCTTGTAACTTGAAGCCATTGGTTCGGGTACTGCCCTCCAGAGCAGGAGAAAACAAGCTTGCTCCATCTTCCATGTGATAGCCCTTTAGATATTTGAAGTTGGCTATCATACCTCCTATAACTCTCCTCTTTCCCAGGCTAAGCATACCCAACTCCCTCACCCATTCCTCATAGGGTTTCCAGACTCTTGGTCATTCTCCTCTGCACACATTCCAACTTGTCCCTATACTTCTTAAACTGTGGTACTCAGAACTGGACACAGTACTCCAGGTGTTGTCTGACCAAGGCAGAATAGAGCAGTACTATGACTTCCCTTGAACAGGACACTTTAAACAGTCATGGCTTCCCCTAAAGAATCCTGGGGATTGCAGTTTGTTAAAGATGCTTAGAGTCATTAGGAGGCCCCTATTCCCCACCACCACACATGCATGGCTACATTTTTTGAGTGGTTTATCAGTCAATCCATTTCCCCAGAGGACTCTGGGAATTGTAGCTCTGTGAGGGGAATAGAGATTTCCTAACACCTCTCAGCAGCCATTAGAAGCTACACTTTCCAAAACTCTTTGGAGAAAGCCATGGCTGTTTAAAGTGGTCTGATACTGCTTTAAGTGTATAATGCAGAAGGGACTAGTGAGTCAGACCATTATTCCTCAGTACTGTCTACTCTGAGAGTTTCACACTCAGTTCTTCCTAGTCCTATTTGGAGATACCAGGGATTGAGCATGGGACTTTGTGAATGCACAGTATGGGGTGCACCACTGAGCTACTGCCCCTCTGAGCCTCAGCATCTACCCACCCCCTAAATTGCAACCCCAACCCTGCTTTATATATACAGTCGTACCTTGGTTGGTGAACGCCTTGCAATTTGAATGCTTTGGCTCCCAAATGCCGCACACCTGGAAGTGAGTGTTCCGGTTTGCAAACGTTCTTTGGAACTCTAACGTATATCGCAGCTTCCTATTGGCTGCAGGAGCTTCCTGCAGCCAATGAGAAGCTATGCCTTGGTTTCTGAATGTTTTGGAAGTTGAACAGACTTCCGGAACAGATTCCGTTTGACTTCCAAGGTACCACTGTAACTGGAAAAGATCCAAATAGAAGCACATGGATCTGTTGCTGTCATATGTACTTTGGTCCTTAGAAGTCAGAGTGCAGTCAGGAACTGGAGCTCTTCACTCAGACAGCATGGATTCTGAACTTTTGCCATAACATTCAGGCCTTGACTCTCTGTTCATACCTCTTTCTCTTTCCAGTGTTTATATGAGTCATTATCCTTCTTTTCCAGTCCGTGACAAAAACATTCAAACTCTGTATGAAAAAATTAAACCCAAGCACAAACCAAGCATGCTGTAAAGCCTAAGTAAAGCATGAAGATTCACATATGCTTGTCGAATGTGCATAATCAATTTCCATTCCATTGAGACAACTGTGGATATTTTGGGTAGCTTTCCTACTACCCCTCTCCCTATCAGAATGAAATGTTGGTTCTCTCTGCCTCTTGGAAGCTGCATTGAAGTCCAAGCTGGGTGTACCTGAACTTAAAACAGAAGCAGGAAACTTTACCCTCAGTAAAATAGTCTTTTCTTCTGCTGTCTCCAAAAGACATTGAAGACCAGAGAGGTGAAGCTGCAGACCATCTCTCTCCACAGACTCTGGAATGACTGAAAAGGCAGGCAAGAGAGTGTTTGCATTGGGCTGGAGCCATCATACCATTAACCATTCCAAATTATTTGTGGGCTGGTTAAAGGAGGGAGCCTCGACCACCACAGCCATTTGTCTGCAGGGAAGGCTTTCTGCGAGTGCATGCAGATGGGGTGTGCCTCATACAGAAAGCATCTGGAATCAACTGGCTGGATAATTCCTGTGATATTGCAACACAGAAAAAGAAAAACCCCATTGCTAAATGCCTGCACTCTTTTACATCCCTTAGGGCTCATTTTATGTTTCCATCTGCCCGAGTCCACATTTCAAAAGCAGCACAATAAAATGCAAACATCATGCATTTATTTGGTGTATATACAATTCCCAGACGGAGTGCAAAAATACAGCGAAATGCCTCTCCTTTGTCTTTCCCCCATTCAACTTCACAGCATAAAATGAGAAAAAATTCAAGCGAACAGCACAGGCTGTGCCTCCCAGTCTTTGCAACAGGCCTGCCCAGAGGACATGTCTTGGGATGGGAATTTCCTGCTCATGTGGGCTGGCACTGCAGTGCACACAACTTGGGAGTGCAGGGAGTCTCCTGAAAAAACACAGGTCCCTTTGGCCCGGATAATATTCCCAGCAACTCATTGCTGAATACAGACTCCACAGATCCTGCCCTAGTCTTCACCAACTTCTTGGTTGAAGCAGCTTGGATAGGAACATCAGAAACTGCTTCATACCAAGTCTGATCTTTAGTCCATCAAGCTCAGTATCTACACCAAGGGTAGTCATTACTGGACTACAACTCCCATCATTCCTAACCACTGACCATGCTGGTTGGGCTGATGGGAGTTGGAGTTCAACAACATCCAGAGGGCATTATGTTGACCTGAGGCACACTGACTGGCAGTGGCTCTCCAGCGATCTCTCCCAGCCCTACTGGGATGCTGGGAACGGAACCTGGGACCTTTTGCATACAAAGCAAATCCTCTTAACACAGCTACATGCGCCTGCATTCCAGGGGGTTGGACTAGATGATCCTCAGGGTCCCTTCCAACTCTACAGTGATCCTCCATTTATTCATTTCAGGCACTGGTAGTGCTGGAACTGGTTGCCCAGCCCCCTAAATAACAGCTGCCTGATGTAGCTGGGATGAGATCTGGAACATGGGCGTCCCAGATCACAGTTCACACCCTTAACCAATATGGTTGGTAACACCAGCTACTGGTGACACTTTTGCCTTCCCTGTATTGTGCCTTCGTGCTTGCCATTGATGTTTGCAACCTCAGATCTCCCTGGAACCTCCAGTTCTTTCCAGTTGCTCTTTGCCGGTCACAAGGAACAGGGAAGACTTTCCAAAGAGCTAACAAAAGTGCAGTCCAAATCCTGCACTGATTTGCTTGCATCGATGGTAATTCAGCCCGGCTGCTTGAAAGCTCCCTTCTCCCCCAGAGGCGAAGTGCCTGTTCAATTCCAAGCCCCTTTCCTGATTGCTTAAGTTCTGCTCCTATATCAGCTATTCCCCCCCCCCCTTTTTTTATAGTGGAGGAGAAGGCTCCCAACCTCCTCTTCTGAACATCTAATCTCTGGTAAAAATCACATGAGTTGGATTCTGTTCCAAGAGGGAAAGACTGTGTGTGTGTGTGTGTGTGTGTGTGTGCATGTGTGCGCAGTACACATCCTGCATGAAAATAGCCCTTCCCCCAGCAGGCACATGACTTCCTAAACCCACCAGGAATGGAGGTTCTACTGGCTAAGAAAGGGGCATTGCAAAGAGTGCCCCCAAAGCCTGCTTTAGTGGGCTTTTTTTCCGTGGGTAAATGCTGGATAAATGTGGACTGGCTGCTGAAGTTCCTAAGCAAATCTCTGAGGCTCAGCAAGATGGATTGCATAGACAAAATGCATACACACCACACATTTAAAGCACCCCTGGCTCATACACACAAAGAATCCTGGAAACTGTAGTTTGTTGAGGGTGCTGGGAATTGCAGTGCTCTGAAGGGTAAACTACAGTTCTGAATATTCTTTACAGGTAGGGGGTATGTGCTTTAAATGTGTGGGGTGTATGCAGCCCATGTCCCAGTTACCTGCAAACCTATTTATTCAAAGAATGGTTCTAACTTATATATTCAATAAGCCAGGAGTAGTTATTCTCTCTCTCCTGACTCCCACATTTCCATGAGAACAGATAGTTAGGAATTTGTCTCAAAATCTGTGGAAGCATAAGCAACTGAAATGGGCTGCCAGATAGATTTCTTTGACCGAAAGACAAGAACTAATCATCTAAAAAAGACAACAACCATGTATCTGTGTTTGGGAACCAGGGGTGTGTGTTGCTTCCTAGGAAAACATTAATGCAGTGTGTATATATGTGTGTGTGTGTATATATATATATATATATATATATATATATATATATGAAACTGAATAATCTTAACACTCATGCTGCAATCCTATATCCATTTACCTGGGAGAAAGCTCCATTTAACTTAGTGGGACTTACTTGTGAGTAGTCAAATATAGGATGGTGCTACAAGTAACCTTATTAGAGATTACATACACCCACTTGGAAGAAAAACCTATTGAAATCAATGGGACATTGTTCCAAGTAAATGCGGTTTGTAAATACTGGTGTGTACCAGAGCAAACCTTTGCATGCTTCCTCAGAAGAAGACCCACTCTGCCCAAAGGGGCTTACTCTCTCATAAGTGCATATATAGGACTAAAGCCTTACGGCACAATCCTATATATGCCTACTCAGCATAAATCCCATTGAGTTCAATGGGACTTACTCCTAAATCAGTGTCTATGGGATTGCAGTTAGTGTCTCTTAAATCACATCACTCATTTTAAAGTGTTATCCTCTTTAGGTATCAAAACTTCTATAGAATTGAACTAGGGACCAAGTCATAGACTCAAAGAATTCTAGAGTTGGAAGGGACCCTGAGGGTCATCTAGTCCAACCCCCTTGAAATGCAGGAATTCTGCCCACAGTTGTTCCTGAGTGGGCTCAAACCACCAACCTTCTGGTTAACAGCCAGATGCACTGACCCATTGTGCCACAGGAGTCTCTGAGTGTGGGGAAATGAGTCTGTCTTCCGAAATTCACCTCTTTGTGACAAAACAGAAAGCAGCCCTAAATTCTCAGAAATGCAAAGAATTTGTATTCATTCCCTCAAGGAAAAAATAAACATCGTACAATTTTCTCAGCTACCAGAGTGCGAAGAGGAATTGAATCTGCTTTATTAAACTAATTAGGGGCTCTTAACTCCTTTCTATCCAAAACCGTTTACAAATTGCACATGCGGTGCAAGCAGAATTAACGGAAGCAACTTAGAAGGAAAAAACGAAACCACAACCTAATATTCCTCTCTGAAAATAAAACTCACCTCCTATCTCCCCATACCTTACAAAATTCTGATTATGAATCAAGCTTACAGATAGTGAGACTTCTGAAACACTCAACTGGCTTTGGCAAAGGCTATAAACATACCAGATGTATGTGGATGTGTGCAGCATATGAGAAAAAAAGGGGGTTTCCCCAAGTTTTGCTGCCATGGAAACAGTCTCAGAATTTTTAACCACCTCTTTATTTCACTTTTCCTTTGTTTGTTTGACAGAACTTTTGCATGACCAACCAAAACAAAAAGCAGCCTTTCAAGACCCAGAAAGAAAATACCTGTTGATCCATAAGACAGGGGAAAGTCCCACCTGACTACAGGTTAAGAAAGAAGTCCCTCCTTTCTCTTGTTTAGGGTAGGCCATCCCCAGATAGAGGACACCTGCCCAGGGCTTACCTGTTTCCACCTGACCTTCCTCCTGCCTGTGTGTGTTTTAACTTCCAGGACTCTTCCTCCCCCTCTTCCTCTCCCTCCTCACTGCAGTCCGGTTCGGATGCAAATGACCCTCCTGCAAGCCGTGTGTGTTTTCTCCGGTTCCGTTCCTCAGAGATTCTCTCGGAGAGGGGTGGGTGGGAGCGAGGGGCGGAGGAGAAAGTCACAACAATAACGTCTTTCTCTGGCAGCCAAACTCCTGGCATCTAATCCACACGCATGTCCTTCTGCCTGGCTTGCTGAAAGGTTCATGTGTAATAATATTTCCTTCTGCTGGGGCAAGAAAACTCCCCGCGAGTGTTGTTCAACAAATCACTTTAAAGAAAGAAAAGAAAAGAAAAAACGCGGAGCTTTCACTCTCTCTCTATAAGCATGTTGTCCTCTCCTAACTTTATAGTAAATCTGTGTGTCTAGGTTTGCGTTTCAAAGCAGCAGGACTCAGATGACAGCCAGGCTCAATGGGCAGTAAATGGCATTCCTGTGTTTTAAAGCGAGAGGCAGTTCTGTGCATATTCCCCCATCCTTTCTAAATGCAATTGTTTTTCTATGCTAATCTTCCTTTGTTGCTACCATTGTTAACACTGACTATGTCAGGGTATTGCTGGCTGGGCTGTTAAAGCCGCCTTAGGGTAAGGGTCAAAGGCTGCCCTGGGAGTTCAGTAGGGTGGCAATTTAATGCTCCTAGAAGACCAGGATAAAGGCACCAGGGCTAAACCACAGAAGCTGCAGGAAGTGCAAAATGCCACTGTGAAAATAAAGTCTAATATAGTTGGAGTGGAGGGGGTATCAAGTTGCTCTTTCTGCTCATAGGGGTCAGTTCAGACAACATGTCGCCCACCATGTGCAAAGTGCAAAGTGAAATCCAGACAAGCTAATAAAAAGGGGGGGGCAGCCTCTGAGTTTGAACCAGTTCAGTTTTTAAAACAGTTTTTAAAACAGTTGGCACACATTTGTTTATTACTGAATTTATATCCCACCTTTTCTTCTGAAGGAGTCTAGGGCAGCAAACAGAAAATGTGCAATTTGACAATAAAAAAACCAAAGCAAAAACTTTCTAAAATAGCTACAACGTTCAATAAACAATTACAATTGAAACCATCTGAAAGCAGCTACAGTTAAAAATGTTCTAGAAGCAGTTCAAAACATTATTCCATCCAATGATCTGAGGGTTGCCAGGATCCATATGTTTCAGCCACCAAATGCCTGGGTAAACAGGAATGTTTGCAAATCCTCCTGAAAGTTAATAATTATGGAGACAGGTGTATCTCCCTAGGGAAGGCATTCCACAACTGGGGAACCACCACTGAAAAGGCCCTGCAATGGGTCAGCGCCACTGGGCAGCCCCAGTAGCAGCACTGCCAACAAGACCACACCTGCCAGTCATAGGGACTGAGACAGCTGGTACTGGGAATTGCACTCTTTCAGGTAATTGGGTCCCAAGCCAACCAGAGCTTTCTATAGAATCACAGAATCATACAATTGTAGAGTTGGAAGGGACCTAGAAGCGAATACTAACACCATAAATTGGGACCTTTCCTGCTGAATTCAATCCTTTGCACAATAACTCAGCTGCTAGAGCCTGAGACTCTTAATCTCAGGGTTGTGGGTTCGAGCCCCACATTGGGCAAAAGATTCTTGCATTGCAGGGGGTTGATCCTAGTGGTCCCTTCTAACTCTGCAATTCTACAATTCTATAAAATCAAACGGCCATACTTCTGAACAAACTTCTGTAGGGTTGCAAAGCACGGACCTGGAAAGTGTGGTGCCAAAGGAAGTCTGGATGAGCCTAGAGTTACCTGCTCCCCCTGCCCTTTAATGAGAAGCCGTGCTGGAAAGATGCTACTGGGAGTAGAAGTGTCATGGAGGAGGGCCTGCTAACCCCTTTTTCTTCCTGTCAATTGTTGCTCAGTATTGGCTCACTCCAGCTGCTTCTTCATCAATGGGGGGAAAGATCCTCACAGGGAGAAAAATGAGTTGGGGGTTCATTTTTAGCAGATGAATAGCAGTAGAAGAAAGGATTAAGAAACAACTCCTTGCCACTTTTTCGTTTCTATATGCAGTCTCCCAAGGCTGTTTTTCTTTTACAGGAAAAGGGGGAAAGGGACACGGACCATTGTGTCACACAGCTCTTTTGGTTCTAAAGCCTAGCTGTCTTATTTTTCCCAGTACACGGGGTTCTAAATAAAGAGGTATTGGTAGCAGTAGAAGTTTCTGATCACAGTGATGTATCTATCCTTTTCGGGAAGTGAGAGGGATGGAAAAGCCAAAGGGATCCAGTTGCACTGCCACAGAAGTAAACACTTGTCAAGCCTAGAAACACAGTCAATTATTGATCTTGGCTTCTGCCAAATGGAAAAATGCAAAATCAGTAGGAAACTAAGATCCCATTTTGCAAGATGAATCTTTTAATTGATCCAAATACATCAGTGTCAGAGCACCAAAAGAAAAGTTAATGAGGGTGAATCACCCACTAGCTTGCTCACTGAATCTCTGTGCATGATGGTGTCCATAGAAAGGTAATGTAACATAAAGTCAGGAGCCAAAACTCCTTTTGCTTTTACCCGATAACAGGGACTGCAGATGATGATTTCTGTATTAAGGCTCAGTCCAGAGTTTCCAGTAACTCTGGACACCTGTCCAGGCATTCAACTAATGTATCAAGCCATGAAGTGCATAGAGGGCATGCGCTGCCCTGCCCACAGCACCCTCACTTGATCCACCCCCAACAGTCCACAGTAGGAAGATTTAGAGGGGGCTTTCAAGCATGTTTGGTTGAATGTATTTAGAAGTCTACCCATAATCTGGAACCCTTATAATGTGATGTTGCCAGTCACAGGAAACCTTCTGAGCACATTCAGCTGAACATGCTTAGAAATCCCCTTCACGTAGTGGAGCAGGCACAGACAAGGATACCGGCAGTGTAGGGGTGATGTATGTGCCCCAGCTTGCCTACATATGTTGAATGCCCATTTTGTCCCTTGCAAAAGACTTCCATAACACTCCACAAAATGGGCACCCTGCATTCCAAAATTAGTTTTGAAATTGTGATACATCAGTCCAGGATCACATCTAAGAATGTGATGTACTTATGTTAGCCTGTTAGAAACAGAGGAAGGAGAAATTAATTTAACAAAAATTAGGACAATCCAGAGCTTTGTGTCCCAGGATATGGATTCAGATCTTACTACATAGAACATAGCATGGCAAACACACAAACTGATAGCTTAGCAAATATTTATTCCCCTTGATTAACCAGAAATATTAATAATATCCAGGTCCTAAAATATAGATCCTGGTGGTGCATGATTCAACTGAAGTTAAATATTTTGGGGTTCCATTGATTTCAGTAGGAAAGCACCCATGGTTTTATCAAGTTGGGAAAATTGAGCAGTAATTGCAGTTGTTTATTTACAAGGATGAGTTGCTCTTAAGGCATCCATTTTGTACACACAGAGAACTTCGCTGCCAAAAGTGAATCATTCTCTGGACTCAAAAACATAGAAGGAACAGTTGTTGGGACACCCTGAACTCAGATGGAATAACGTACTGGCCCCTTTTGCCATTTTCGCACAATTCAGCATTTCTCTGGGGATTTCAATGGGTCTCATAAATATGAAGGGAAGAAGACAAGACTGAGAACAGGGAATGCTAGCTGGAGAGCCGGTATCAATATTTCTCCTCTTCTCTCACACTGTGATTCTTCTCTTTAGTAATCCCATAGCAAATATTCCTTTGTAGTGCAAATAGCCTTAAATAATTGGAATGGGAGAACATGGACTGGCTGGTAGTGAAAAGCAGCTGGCTCCCTAAGAAAAGTGATTGCTTTGTCAATGGGCTTTTTCTCCCTTTCTTTTACGCATCATGCTCAAATCTAGTTCTCTGCCCCTAATGAGTTCTTTGGCACCTTGTCCTCCAGGAAACTGAAATACATTCCTGTGGGATTGTCCCTGCAGCTTTATATAACTTGCATCCCATTGGCTTTGATCATTTCCCCAAAGAACTGGCAAGATCTCCTTCTGTCGGCAACTTTCCCTTCCTCTCTTTTGGAACTAAGGCTGTCATCTAAGTCCCACATATGTGGGAGTAAGCCCCATTGAATTCAACAGGACTTACTTCTGAGTAGACATGCTTAGGATTGTGCTGTAAGCATGTTGCTGTAGGAGACAGTTCATACCAACCATTGGATCAAATTCTCCCTCTGAGCTTCTGCTATTGCACTACAAAGGAATATTTGCTATGGGATTGCTAAAGAGAAGAATCACAGTGTGAGAGAAGAGGAGAAGTCTTTTGTCCAGAGTTGGGCAGACAACAGGCTTGTTGGTTCTACTACTTTGTTTTATATTTGAACCCTAATATCTCCCAACCAACCTGGGGCAAAAGACAGACAGTAGAACAGCATGCATGCATACATAATTTCATTTGTATGCCACCTTTCCACAGTTCAAACCATGCTCAAGGAAGCTTACAAAATGAAAAAATACAAAACTGCAACATAACAAAAGCAGTCGTAAACAACAAATAAAACATTTAAAGAATACACAGCCAAACTGAACCATTTCCATACAAGTTACAACAAGATCTAAAACCAAAATATAAAATACTAACAGCAGCAACAACACCAATCTCCTCGACCAAACAAAGAAATGCCAGCCCATCCAGCAGCCTTAGCTTTTATAGCTGGAGTCAGTCAGGGCTTTGTGCTCCCAGGCCAGGGGGAGAAAGGCCTGTAAGGCAGGGAGCAGGTCTTCCAGGACTCACAGTCAAAATGGAATTAAAGAACAGCGTGCCTTTAAGCACCTTCTGACTGACTGACTGACTGAGCTAAGGAATTTGTTTTTAGTACCAGAACTGAAGTGAACTTGCAGAAAAAATCCTCTCCTGGTTAGCAGCCAAGCTGAGGTGGGAAAAGTCATTTTTGTTGGGAGCCAGAAACCCTGCAAATTATCAAGAGATCTACTAGTAGATCCTAATCCACCTTCTGCCTACCAGTGATCTAGCCCAACTCATATAAATCCTTCTGATTACTGTAATTAGTACACGTGCATTGTTTCGTACATCTATTTCAAGTGTCTGCTTCTCACACGCTGAGTGTCAGTAAACTGAAAATGCCTTACACACAATGGAGAAATGGAGCTGTACAGCTATAATGTGTATGATATAATATATGAAAAGGGGGCTTGTACATTGATCTGATCTGAAGTGGAAGGTCTTCTGGCATCCCCATCATGTACATGGCATTTCCATTTCTTGATTCTGTGATCTGTGAACCTTGAGCTAGAATGGACATTTTGTTCACCCTCAGAATATTGGCTGAATATCTGGCCCATGCCTAGATCTCATTTCTCTCCCAATAAGCTGCTGGAGGAAACATGAAGTACAAAAAGCCACAAAGAAAACTCTGAAGTTTTTTGTGTTTGTATAAATGACTTTCTGATTGCTTAGTCTACTGATAAATGTTAGGTGCTGATGCTCCAAAATCTGGGTCACATACAAGTTCCTCCATTAGCTTCACCTACAAACTTCTCAGGAAATAACATTTTGTTTGCAAAATGTCTTCGCCTTTTCAAAAAGCAATGCTTTCTCCAAAAGCTTTGGGACTGTAGTAAACAACTGCTATTAAGAAGAAATTAATTCCAAGTGAAAAGATCAAATGTATAACTACCAAATTATTTATTTATAGTCTGTAACTGCTACTGCTACAACTTCTGCAGCTACTACTACTACTACTACAGTGGTGCCTCGCAAGACGAAATTAATTCGTTCCGCAAGTTTTTTCTTCTTGCGAGTTTTTCGTCTTGCGATGCACGGTTTCCCATAGGAATGCATTGAAAATCAATTAATGCGTTCCTAGGGAAACCGACTTCAGACCAGGTCCGGGACAGTCTGTCCCCCGACCTCTTCTGAAGGCTGGGGGACAAGGGCTTTCTTCCCACTCCACCCCAGCATTTTAAAACCCCGGGACAGCGGAGGGCTTCTCCGCTGTCCGGGGCGATCTTAAAATGCTGGCGGGCGGTATTTAAAATTGCCCCGGGACAGCGGAGGACTTCTCCGCTGTCCGGGGCAATTTAAAGCTCTCTGGGAAGGCAGGCAGGGGGACAAAGACTTTGCCCCCGCCAGCCTTCAGAAGAGGTCCAGGACCTCTTCTGAAGGCTGGCGGGGGGCAAAAGTCTTTGTCCCCCCCCCACCTGCCTTCAAAAGCTGTCCAGCCAAGGCTTCGCGGACCTCTCCGCACGCAGCGGCAGCACTGCCGCTGCTGGCGGAGAGTGGCCGGCATGCCGAAGCCTGCGCGCGCTGAGATCAGCGCGCCCAGGCTTCGCGGACCTCTCCGCGAGCAGCGGCAGCGCTGCCGCTGCTTGCGGAGAGCTGCCGGCATGCCGAGCCTGCGCGCGCTGAGATCAGCGCGCCCAGGCTTCGCGGACCTCTCCGCGAGCAGCGGCAGCGCTGCCGCTGCTTGCGGAGAGCTGCCGGCATGCCGAGCCTGCGCGCGCTGAGATCAGCGCGCCCAGGCTTCGCGGACCTCTCCTGCCTTCAAAAGCCGTCCGGGATAGCGGGAAGCGCTTCCTGCTATCCCGGACTGCTTTTAAAATGCTGGCGGTGGGGAGCAAAGCCTTCGGCCCCCGCCAGCCTTCCTGGACCTCTTCTGAAGGCCGGAGGGGGGAAGGCTTTGCTCCCACCGCTAGCATTTAAAAGAGGTCCTCGGAGATTTCCCTATGGGCTTCGTCTTGCGAAGCAAGCCCATAGGGAAATTGCTTTATGAAGCGCTCCAAAACGGAAAACCCTTTCGTCTAGCGGGTTTTCCGTCTTGCGAGGCGTTCGTCTTGCGGGGCACCACTGTACTATCAACTAAGATCCCAAATAACATCAATCACTGTATATATAACAGGTTAAAACCTCGCTGTTGCTTGCCTGTTAACTATGTCTTTGAACTTCCAGCTTCTTTCACCCAAAGAATCACTTAAATGGCTATTTGTATTTAGAAAATAAACAATTTGAAAGCAGAATAATGCAACACAGAGTTTAAAATAAATGTGTTATGTACGGACAGGATTGGTTGAGCTGCTAAGTGGGAAAACAATAAACCTCCTACTGTTTGTATTATTCTTTTTTGGACAGGGAAAAATGGAGAGTAGCTGAGAGAATGAAGTGACCTAATTATATCAGAATTAGAGAAGGTTAACAACAAACAGATTTGTAGGGAAATGAGTGTTAGTTAGTTATTCAATATTGGAGTGAGAAGCATAATGATAATATCCTTTCCCTATGTGATTCTGACTTGTATCTAAATAATAGTCACAGATATGCATCACTACATAAATTATATTCCGCCAGCAGATCCTGATGAATAAAGCAAATCACCTACCTTCCCTTGAGACTTCTAAAAATAAAGCATTGCATCTCAAGGCTCCACTAATTTACCATGGATTTCAAGAGAGTTCGGGTGTCACATACTGTAGGGGCCAATCTCTCACCAGGGCCAAGCTTTCTTAGGGAGAGAATGATAGACCTAGAGCAGCCTTTGCCAACCTGGTGCCTTGTAGATGTTTTAGACCACAAGTCCCACCTGGTGAACTGAACTGGGGCTGATGGGAGTTGTAATCCTGAACATCTGGAGGGCCAGGCTGACCTGGACCTTTTCAAGGACGGGCCTTCCCCAAGAAAATCATGTGTTCAAATTGTCTGATGGAAAAGATGAAAATATAGGTTGGAGGGGTATGCTGAGGTCACTTCCTCAAAGGCAGTTCAGGCCGAGCAATTGGGTGCAGGAAGAGAAGCCAATATTCAGCCTGACTGATGGGAACAAAAAATCAGGGTGAGGCTTGTAGGGCCAGAGAGCAAGGAAGGAATATGCAAGGGCAAAACAAGAAGTGGAGCCTGTGATCAAGAGCTTTGCTGTAAAGAATAAGGTCTGCTAAAAATGAAGGGGAAGTAAGTTTATACAGTGACAGGGAAGGGCAGTGATCAGTTATAGTGGGGAGTAGTGGAGAAAAGCAGAGGCTAACAAAGTTACTTGGACCCCAGGTGATCTATGGTTTTCTGCAGCAGCTCAGGGAGTAGATCTCCAGCTTAGCTCAAAAAAAGAACTTTGGGACTACAAGGGGCTGGTGACCCTGCTAGAGGATCCCCATCTCAGTACACAACACTGTGACCTTTGACTGATCTCTTCCTAGAAGGACAGCCACCTGACTTGATTGAAACACTTATAACTATAGAGCATGTGCAGTGCAGGAGTAATCCACTATCAGATGGATCATTGTGAAGCAGGAAAGAGCTCATGAGCTGCTCAGAGGGGATATTAAATAGCTTGTGGAAACACACATTCACTGTTCTGTACAACCACCACTGCTAGAATATACAACAGGCACAGGCAGCTGAAATAATCATGGCAGAGTCATGCGGCAAGGTATGCCTCCCAGTGTGAACTACCCACTTCCCATATGTTCATACCTCCCCTTCTCATTCTTTCTCATCACAACCACAGTTGTGACATGTGAATTCTGTAGCAATTCAGAAAGAACCCCAAAGCATCGCCAGTTTTTCCACTGGGCTCCCTAGAAGCTGCCCCATGGAGGCAGGCATCAAATTAATGCTCAATCTAGGGAAGGAAGCTGGCCCAGGAAGACACCCACTGTGCCCACTCATGGCAACTGTGAATGCATTACAGTGGTACCTCGGGTTAAGAACTTAATTCGTTCTGGAGGTTCGTTCTTAACCTGAAACTGCTCTTAACCTGAGGTACCACTTTAGCTAATAGGGCCTCCCGCTGCCGCCGCGCTGCCGGAGCACGATTTCTGTTCTCATCCTGAAGCAAAGTTCTTAATCCGAGGTGCTATTTCTGGGTTAGCGGAGTCTGTAACCTGAAGTGTCTGTAACCCGAGGTACCACTGTACATGCAAAGTATCATGTCCCTTCATATTTTAAACTGATTTATCTGAAATTTGGGCACCCTGTATTCCTCACCCAAGAGGTCTTCCCTGCCCTGTATCAATAGGACAAAGCACCTTGATTTACATAAGAAGTGCCATGGTTTCAGCAGAGACTGTGGCATGCATAACTGCCAAGCGACTTCCAACCACACACTTGTTCATGCACTCACATTGGTCCAGTTGGGAGTATATCTGTTTCATAAAGTAGGAACACATCTTGTAAGCAGAGCCATCACAGATCGTTTAATGAAGTGAAGGCGACAAAATCCATTCATTTGGTGACAGTGATTCCCCAGATGAAAATATGCTCATACACACCCAACCTTTGTAGACTATTGCTCACTCTGTGTGACACCACATGTGATGTAATTATTACCACACATACACAATCTTTGTTTAATCCAGGCATCCAAAGTCAAATCTGTCAATGAATTCCTCATGTTCTACCCACCCATAAAATATCTGTTTCTAAGATATAAGGATTTGCAGGCTGGAAACAGACTGTCCCTAAAGGATGACTATTCACCTACTGACTTCTCTGTATTGCTATAACCAATTTATGTTCAGTTTGTCCTATGAAAACCATGACAGAAGAAGATTGTTGGTGAGTGACCTTAGACTGAGTGAGGGGATCAATCAGCTTCCCTGGGCCCTGAGATCTTCAGATTAGCCCTTTATTGTTGCCCTGCCAATGAACCTAGTCCTTTTGTGATGACACAAGAAAGGGCCTTTTCTGCGGTGGCACACCATTAATGGAACTCCCTCCCCTTAGAAATGCAGACAATGCCCTCATAATTTGAGGTTTTGAAGAGCCACATTTTCATCCAGGCCCTTGGGAAAAACTGGACATGTTTAGGCAACCCAAGAGTAAAGCTATCAATCAGCTGCAGTAATATGGTTTGTTTTAATTGCATAGTTGTATTAATTGTTTGAAGCATTGTTTAATTACTGGTTTTACTGTTGTTTAAATTTAACAAAAAACCCTGGAAACTTTAGTTCATTAAAGATGCTGGAAACTGTAGGTATGTGAGGTCTAAACTACACTTCCCATTATTTTTTGAGGTAAGATATGTACTTTAAATGTGCTGCATTGAATGTGCTTTAAATGTATAGTCCAGATGTGACCTGGGTGTATTTGAGAAAGAGGAGCACCTGGAAGAGCTGGCAGGACAGTTCCTTCAGGTGTATGGATCTTCCAAGCTTTCTTTGAGGGCTCAGTAAAAATAAAAACCAGCTCTTTCCCAATAATTCTCTGAGGAAGCTTGTAAGGCTAATTACAACATTCACCAGTGAAACCTCGGCCATCCCTAAGTGCCTCATATCCATAGAAACGTGATTTCTTTCACCTGCCTGCCTGATTGCCTTAAGTGATGTCCCATGGAAACAGCTTTTGGTGGCTTCCACACATGGACTTCCATGTAAGAAAATATTATTATGGGACCCTCCTGCTGTTGGGAGCCTTCAACAGAACATTCCATCAGCACAGAAGTTTGAATCACAAAATTAAGTGGCTGTGACCAAGGGATGCTTCTGTGTTGCTTTTAATTTATTTCCATTGGCAACAGATTCCGTCATCTGAAAAATCAGAGCCAAGGCAAGGGAACGGCGGAGCAGAGGGAATGGGCCAATTGCCTTAAGTCTTTCTGCCCACTACAGAAGTCAGGCTCCTCTTGTTCCCCCATAATTGGCCCTGGATAACCTGCTCATCACAAAGCACCTTGGTCAGGGTTATAAAAGTCCTTATTTCCCCTCCCCACCTCATCATGTGGCCTGGGATGTTCTGTTTTCCCTGTTCTTTACAGGACGGGGTGGGGAGTGGTGCTGCTTGAGGAGCTGGAAAGAGTGAGGTCACACTGAGAGAATGCGACTTCTGCTTCTTGCTGGATCCAGCCAGGTGCTGAAAGCAACAAAGGGGAACACATGTTTTGAACGTTCCTTGGATACTTTGGTCATTAAATCCACGGACAAACTTCCCCCAGGAGAAATCAGAAAAATAGATGAGCCCTGTCCAGCGCTGGGGCAAATGAAGCAATGGAAAGAACTGGGCAAGCCCATCAAGGCTTATAAAACTTGCACTCAATATACAGCTCATTCTCCTCTGCTTGGGTTATTACCTCCTTCTGGCACCTGCTGAAAGCCTTTTGGATCTGGCAACCCTAAAATAGAAGAGGAAAAACAAGGCAGGGCAAAGTAATTTCATACCAAAGTGGTGCTGCTCCCTTTCTTATAGTATTATTTTTGTTGTTGTTGTTTTTATTTGGGTAAAAAAAACCCATAGTTAACCATCGGCTCAGATCCCAGCAAAGATGGAAAGCAAATCCGTCTGTCTCAGATCCTTGAACTTGTGTTGATGAGAACTAGATTATGTGCTGCTTTTCCTATGTTCACATCGCACCACACAGTTAAAGCACATAGTTTCCTCAAAAGAATCCTAGGAAGCATAGTTTGTTAAGAGCGTTGGGAACTGTAGCTCTGTGAGGGGTAAACTAAAGTTCCCAGGATCCTCTGGGAGAAGGTGTGCACTTTAAATGTGCTTTATATTATTAGCAGAGCCCATGCACCCTGGG